AAGGAACTTGCTAGTTGCTAATATGTCAACAACTTCTCATCATGAGGATGTAATATTGACTAAATAAAGCAGGGTATTACGGATTTCTTTGTGGTTATGACTTAAATTAGTTGTTAAATGTGTAATGCTTATAAAACAGGGTCATACGGATTTCTCCGTTTGCAAATCGATTATCCTTTGATGCTCCTCCAGCCGTACAACGGCTTAGATGCTTGGCAAATTATGCAGCTTTAAGGTTTTCAACTCCTATATTGAGTTTGGGCGAAAGCTTGGTAGCTAGAATGAAAGAGCACAGTGTCAAAAATGGTGGAAAATACATATCAGTTCATCTTCGCTTTGAGGAGGTTAGCTTTACTGCATGAAAAGCGCTTTGATTTGGTTTTTTGCTCTTTCTCTTTGTTTAGTATGATTGTTAACAGCAATCTTTGTACAGGACATGGTTGCTTTCTCTTGTTGTGTTTTTGACGGCGGGGAGCAAGAAAAATTAGATATGATTGCTGCACGGGAAAAGGGTTGGAGAGGAAAGTTCACAAAACCCGGTCGGGTCATACGTCCTGGTTCTATCAGGATAAACGGAAAATGTCCCCTCACTCCTTTAGAGGTAAGGTCTAGTTTCTTTTAGTAAATATGTGAATGCTACATTACAGATTGTTGAAGGGCTCTATACATTGCTACGATGAAATCTAGTTTATTTAGAGGTGTCACATTGGAAGGTGGAGGAGGTCATTGAGTGAAGTACATATGCTCAGACTTTGATGTTTGTCAGCAAGACATGTTTGCCTTTTCTTTCTAGCTTGTGTCCTGTTGGCTACTATCTGGGGCTGGATTGGGAATTCTCATGCAATGGGTGATTATCATCCTACTATGTTAAGATGGAGTGATTGGGAAAGAAGGGGAAGGTTCAAGCTAATTATTAGGGAAAAGAAAAGACTAGAAAACCTCGGATTAAGTGGTTCACTGTGTTTATTAGGGTTGATGAGAAGAAAGCAGCAGTGGAAGGAAATTTGTTTTACCTTCAAGGGGGGATATTAAAATCACTTAACTACGGAGGCATTAGCAGGGATTCTGGGGAAGAGTGAAATCCCTCCAACTCATTACTCTTCCTTCCACTAAAACAAGCCAAACAAGTCGATTAGGAAATGACTCCTTTGAATCCCTTCCCTCCTCTTTGAATCCCTTTGGCCTAATGAAAGCCAGTCTTGGCTTTCCTGGCCTTTTTGTGCATTAAATTTGGACGAGGGGTTGGACGGATACAGTAGCAAACTAAGTGAATCTGTCAGGACAAGTTCAGTTTTTGAATTACTGGTATGACTGTGGGGTTTGGATCTAGTCTTAATTTTTCCTTTATGCAATCTGGAATTGATGCAAAATTATGGGGAAGCTAAATTTTGAGCATGCTTTAAATTAAGTTCCAATAGGTTTGATCTGGTTGTGTTGGCCATGTTGTGTTCCCTGGTCACATTTGTTTGCTTACGCACAAAGCATAGGATCCACTAAAAATAGCTTTCTTTATGATTGTTAGCTCAGAGAACAATTGGCTCATGCAGTGCTACTATGTTCTGGATGTTCCTAAATGTATTTAAACTATCTAGGTAAAATGGGGCAGTCGTCTGAAACCTTAGGTCAGTGAAATCAAAGAGATTCTAAGAAAGATCTGGCAGCTACTGAAGAGGAGAAAATTGTCTAAAATTTTATCTTAGTAAGTTCCTTATTCGAGGAAATCTACAAATGCATTTACTTATAGGATCATCTTGCCCTGATATCTTTCTAGGTGTTCCATTTACTTGCTAAGAAACTACAAAAAAACTCATCGAAATGTTGCATTACGTTAACAAGTAACATGGTTTCTATTTATTGTGCCAATTTAACTTGAGAAAAGACGATGTTACTGTGGTAACTCTAATTTATCCTTTATGTGACTTGTGCAGAATTATTTTCCTTGTTGTTCACCACACCACTTATGCATGAGATGACAAAAAGGAACATATAAAACTACGAGATACCGGAACTTCTCTGATTTTTCTTTGGAGCTTGTGGGAATTTTTAAGCCTGAGACCATTATATGTTAGAATCATCGAGGTCTTTATATTTCTTTTGACTGCTTTAAGGAATAGCGTGGATACAGGAAAAAGGATGACTAACAAACTTGTGGACGTTCAACTTGTTCTGGCGACAGTCTTTTTTGTTCTTCTTCCTTACCTTTATAGGACAATGAATCCTGTCACATAGCAATAAGGACTCTGCATCCTCTCCATTGTCCATTTAAGGTTGTAACCAGTTGCAACTTTATGAAGGATACACATATCTAATTTCGTGTCTTGGTTGCATATCCTAGGTGGGCTTGATGCTTAGGGGAATGGGCTTTGACAAAAGCACGTCGATTTATTTAGCATCTGGAAAGATATACAATGGTGAGAAGACGATGGCACCCCTGTTGGAAATGTTTCCCGAGCTGAAGACTAAAGAGATGCTTGCATCCGAGGAAGAACTAGTTCCATACAAGGTCAGAAAAAATTCGATTGTTCATGTGTCTTGTTTGTAATGACTTTTATGACATCACTATATTGACTTTAGTTATGCCTGTAGAACTATTCTTCCAGGATGGCTGCAATAGACTACACTGTTTGTCTTCATAGTGAAGTTTTTGTAACAACTCAAGGTGGAAATTTTCCTCACTTTCTGATGGGCCACAGACGATACATGTATGGTGGACATTCCAAGACAATTAGGCCTGATAAGAGGAAGTTGGCATTAATCTTTGATAATCCCAATCTCGGGTATGTCATCAATGCTATAGATCCTTAAGCCTGTGTCCTTCAGTAACCATCATAATGTATATATATTGCTCTATCCAAAATGAGGGAAATATAACAACAATGCATGCCACCCCTAGGGAAGCCTTTTTAAACTATATCTTTGCAATGAAGGCCTGAAATAAAAGAAAGAGATGCATCTAGGGAATCCCTACATAATGCTTCTTCTGGGAGGATTCTGGTGAGGGTGTGATATGCAAAGGAGCAACGTCAATTAAAATTGGGTTTGCGAATTCAAATACAGTCACTGTAGTCTGTACTTGTATCTATATGATTTTCCCCTTTGAGACGGTGTGTGTCTCTTAAATTAATGTGGATCTGGCAAAACCAAACCTCATTTAGAACCTGCTGGACGTAGTGTGGGGTTGACATTTTCTTCGACCTGGAACTGTAGCTAAATATCACTCAGCTTGAATAACCACAGTTCAGCTTAGGGCTTGGCTGAATTCAGTTCACATTCTTCCATAAATCATGCCTATAAAACCGGTCTGTTCATTGTGCTCACTTGCTTTACAGCACTGTTGACTGTTTGAATAGTTTGCCGGAGAGAATTAAGAATGCAAGACTGAAAAGGACTCTTTGTGTAAACAAATGTCATAGGGTAAAAGAGCTTGAATGGTGTGTTTCTTTGATGTGGCCAATATTTGGCCTGAACATCCTAGTTTTATTGTTGAATGTAACTTGTACTCTTTTCATGTGTTCTCCAGATGGAAAAATTTCAAGCGGCAAATGCTGAATATGCGATCTCACAGTGATTCCAAGGGATTTGAGCTCAAAAGACCTAACGATTCTATATATAGTTTCCCCTGCCCAGATTGTATGTGCCACAGAAACAAAACAGAGGATTCTAGATCATCATCAGCCACATGATTTACTTGGGCAAGGTTTTAAGCGGTGTTCCCCTGTACCTACAATTCACAAGCTTACCTCTCTTCTGATTCCCCTTCGGGTGTTGTATTCTTTCATTCTTTCCCTCTGTACAGCAAGCGGGTCAGTTTACACTTGAATTTGGAAGATTGAGTTCTTATTGGAGGCAACATTGGACATTATCTTCCTGGGTTTGGCTGAGGGGGAGTTGCATCTTTCTGCAAATCATGCCAAATGGGACGAACAACATCAAATTTCTGTTGCTGGAGTCGCTGCTCCGGTCACTTACTGAGCGTTTTTAGTATTGTTGCTGGAGCTGCTTCATCTAACACGCTGAAAATTAAGTTGACACATCAATTGGTTCGGGCCCTGGTTCTGCCATTTTGTACATTGTTAGGAGTTTGCTTGTCTCGCAAGAGTGGGAAACTTGAAGAGGTTTTGTAGCTTCGAGAGGAATCAGGGTCCTAATTTCTCTTTCTGTAACACTCATTTAGAATTATCTGTGTTTAGATATTACAGCATTTCATGATAGTCTTGTAAGCTGCATTTGGCAGATATTTCATTCTTGAGCTATATGCTCCAATTCATTCTAATGGAGGCAGAAATTTGTCAAGTTTTAACCTGCCGCTTTCCGTTGACTGTGTATAAGCTCAGGCCACTTTGTGAGCTGGTGGGAGCTCTCTCTCGCTTGTTACTGGTTAGTGTCATCCTTTATGTGAAATCATCCCTTTCTGCGAAAACTGTTATAACGATGAGTTCGAGATACTCACTCAGTTCAGTAATTCCCTTGCTCAGCACTAGATTTTTTCTCTGGAGATTAGACTCCTTCCAAACTTGATCTATGCGACCATGGAATGCGGGAGCTGATACCGTACTTTGGATGAGTAGAGGAGCAAATTTCAGATGGAGAGTTGGGTGAACATTCCAAGGGAAAGTAAAAGTAAGCCGAAATGAAACTAACGACATAGGCTCGGCCAAACTGCGGTTAGGACAAGAACTCGAGAGAAGTCGAGAACCATGCGCAAAAGTCAGAGTAAAAATGCATGATATTAACCCCTAAGCAGAAAGATGAGTTACTTCTATCTTGCCACTTGCTTTTCAGTACTCTCAGTACCAAAAGGTTTTCTATCTTTTGTGGAAGTGTCCATGATCGGACGGACTCAAAATTCCATTTCTTTGTTCCAAAACACTCCAATGTGATTTTAGACACAATATGACAATTTGGAAATTGAGAGGTTACTTGTTTCCATTGGATACCCGTCACTCGATAGAGAGTTAAGATTGTGCACGCTCAAACAATTCATACTTTGGCACGATTGATTAGACGAATAAAAACACTTTTTACCCTTAGATTCCAGACCAACGATAGTTGCACTGGAACCTCGGGCAAATACTTACTATAGCTACAAGCCTAACTCGATGAATGCGAAGAATGGCTTAGTTCCTACTTCCGAAATGAAAATTACTTTACATGGTAAACCCAATTTGGGTTTAACCAGAATCAGCAGCTACAATTTTACATGGCTTCCCCTCCCTTTCTACATAAATTTCGTAAAAGGAGGGCTGCTGTGGTTGTCATTGCTTTCCTCTTGAAATGTTGAAGACAGTTGAATGTATAGGGTCATAAGGGAATACACTACTCCAGAAGCTTGTTGCATGTGCCGACGCAGACAGCTGCAGCGAGATGCCAACCGGCATGAAGATATGGCGTCCTGGGAAAGACATCATCAGCAATGAAAAGGGCACCTCCCAGCAAAGTTGACATTTTATGAATAGTGTGAGCCATCCTTAAATCTGGATCTTCCAGTGCTCTTTTTGCGAATGCTACCTGCAACATCACTTGGAGAAATTATGCACAAAACCAGAAAGAATTTGCTGTATTTTTTACATTGTATGGCACTGCTATTGACTGAATTTTGAACTTTAAGATTACCTCCATCATTCCAGTGTGAATTGCTGAGACCATCAGAGGTTGGACAGGAAGAAAAGCAGCAGATGCTGCCATCAATAACTTCGGATTCTCAGTTCTGAGGGCCCCGGACAGACACTGTGGACAACGAGAAATGACAGAACATTATCATTATGAGTGAGCAAGCTAATGGCTCAAAATATCTTGAAGCCAAATGAGAACAGGGGCCAGAATCAGCAGAGAGAGAAAAACAAAAGAAAAAGATAGGATAAGTATTTGCAGAGAGGATTTCATCAGAGTGCAAGAAACTCGGAATATTTCAAAATTTTCAAATTTCCCAAAATTAACATGCTAGAGCAAGATATGCATACATGATATCCTTTATCTAGATAGATCATGGTGTCAGATACACACATAATGCCCCTCTGTAAAATAAATTATTCTCGCTTCATTGTTATGGCGGTTTATATTATCCAATCAATCTTTTTTTGGATTCAAGCCCCAATTTCGTGAAAAGAAATGATAAAAAATAAGAGGGAACCAATACTTCACACCACGTGCTCGGGCGCACGAGCACGCGCACATACTGGAGGCTGCTTTCTGGACAACTTAAAGCAATCATTTCACATGGTAGCAAAGCACATTTCTTTTTTTTTTCTCCAAAAGTTCAAATCTTGACACTCCATATACTTTTTGTCTGTTTTCCAGTTCTCGTGCTTTCATCTATCGTCTGTTTTATAAAGTCATGCTCATAGATCGCGTTTCATGTGTAAGGTCCAGTAAATAAATAAGTGTTAATAAGCACACATGATTGTTTTGAATTTCAATTAGAAACTCTTCATCGTGCATGCATAGAGAAGAGAAACAATAAACATAACTAACTAGCTTCCTGACATGTTTTCTTTTCTTTGTAATCTTTTCAAGGAAAAGAAATTGTGGGGGGGGGGGGGGGGTCGAGTGGAGATCGTCAGAAAGTATCATTAAAGCAGTCTACTGTTTGAGTCTTAAAGCTTGAACAGAGAGGAAATAAGGAGAGATAACTGGAAGCACTAAGTTGCTAACAATCACACTCCATGCTATAATAATTTTAAAGTTTCGTTGTATTAGTGCCTTACAAGGATGAACATCTATATTCCTCTTTTTTGTTGCTCGATACTGTTTCAAGTACCACACATCTGTGCTCTTGCCAGAGTTCGAACCATGGTCATGCCCCCATTCCCTCCCCAATCATGCCACCAGTCAGAATGTGCAGTAACATGGATAAAATTAAAATGTATAGCTGGGAAGGAGATAGTGATTAAATAGAAGGAGACAGTTCAATAAACAACAGAAAAAGCATTCTGGTCTTTTTCCCGTTTTTCTCCTTGAGAGTAATAGTTTATCAAGGTTAATCATGAGTAGCTATAGCACCAACTAATAAGACAACCACCGTGTTCAAAGCCCAAGTCATTGAACTAGCCATGACCTCAAAAAGTTCATCAAGGCAAAGTAGGTATGAACCAACCAGGGAGCAGGAAATTCACGAGCCACACTATATATTTAGCACCAAAATCAAGAAGGTGTATAAACAGTCTCTTAAACCCATTTAGTTATCTTACCCAAAGCTAAGGTTTGTTTGTTATTATACACATAAGGCATTCAAGTCACAATAAGAATTGGCGATATTTATTATTTAACTCAATAAAAGGCGAAAAGACCAACAGATAAATATGGACCTTGTTCATTAGTTGAGCCAGAGCATGGAGAATCATATTTAGCCAGTTACTTACCACAGTAGCAGTGGCTATCATTGTGTAGTCAACCCATCTAAGGAAACTCCTCAACTTCCCTCTTGAAGAATGATACAAAGATGATGCAACTCCAACTCCAACTAAAGAATTAGCATAGAGCTTCATGTTGAGATTCTTCCTAGTTGTACAATCCAAAATCATCAGAACCGACGATCCAAAAATAATCATAATATTGATCGATTGAACACGTTAGCAAGCCAATCACCTTGGCGTTTGCATGCCAAGAGCAATGAAAGGAAGGGATGTGAGCACATTTGCAACTGTTTCTGCAAGATGCTGATCACCTACCAAAAGAGAGAAAAATTTGAAGAGCAGTTTAGAGTGCATGCTGAATTTTGTACTAGCAAAGAAAATTCTGAAAACATTGTTTCTGGTCCTCCAGCTAACTTCAACTTTGGGGATGGATAGGCTTTTAATTTGGTAGGTGGTACAAATACAAGCACTCTAGACCAGGGTCATATGTTCTCAAACATGTACTAGTACAAGGGCAGAGAAAGCCCAGGTCTGATAAACAGAAGTATTTTCTGCCATACCGTGAATGCAACATTGGATAGGCCTCAAACATGATGGTCTTTGCTGCCATACTCGCCTGCAAAGTATTTAAAACAAATTAGAAACTTCAGTAATATTTCACACTTGCATATGAATCTAAAACGTGACAGTGAATTCAATCAATATTATGCCAGACCGGGATCTGAAAAAACATATATATCAGCTAAGCCTACTGACAAATGTCACTCAAGAATCTTCTTGGATTGTCATCTTTTTTGTTAAACTTACTGCACAAAAAGCTGCTGATTTAGTCCAATTCTTGAACTTGATTGAGGATAGTCCCCATGCTTGCTAATCTCTTCGAGTGCAAATGGGGCATGAGGCACGATATGTACCCCATGCACACCTTCTAAGGTTTTACTGGAGTTCAATGTACTCTCGAGACTCATAAGCAGTCGAGCAACGGTTCGAATGAGTCTATCCGTCGGCATCAATTGGCTGCTGTGCGCGCCAACCGCTCAATGTCTGCAATGGCACAAAATGCACAATCAAGACAGAGCAATTTACCTCAACTCATCTCTTGAGGAAAAAGAAATGCCAATGGAAGCTTTCAATTAGATTGGAGAAGCCTTGTATTAGTTCACATTAGCAAGCAAGCTCCTTTTCTTAAGTAGGCCTACACCTAGACAATACCTAATGGTAGAGATTCCAAATTTACAACAAGTCATCACCAAAATTAAGAGAAGGAATGAAAAACTTTTGCGACTAGCAGATTGTTACTTTCCCTGGTGCACTTGAGACCATAAGAGGAAGAGGTTAATCTCGACAACAACATGGACCAGACGCACTACTTTTGTGCTGAGGAAGAGCACAACCTTGAATAGCTAATCTCCCGATGCCCAATTCCTTTGCCATTCCAATCAAATCTCCTACATCTAAAGTGATTTTGAATAAATCAAATTTAGAGACTCGAGTATAAATCGAAATACATTCTTTAGATTTGATGAGATTTTATAATTTTCCATTTATTTTGGAAAAAGTTTCACTTTTTATTAATCAATGGCCTAATTCGCAACTAATCAATTATCGAACCTTCAAATCATATGAATAGCTTTGGACTTTGTGTTAGGTATTTAGAAGTTCAAAGCAAGGTAGTTAAGGATGAGGACATGTATAAGCATTTTTCTATCTATAAAAATGAAGTGGGGGTGAAATTTTAAAGAAACCCTGTCAGTACTGTGAGGCTCAATTCATTCTAATAAGGGGAAACTCCGCTCACTGGAACTGGCAATTAAGACCATCTTCAACCTTATACACTAAAAAACCCAGTAATGTGTGATGGAGCTCATCTCTCTATGCCATCATTCACACCAACTCCAAACTCAAACGGCCAATCCAAAAACCAAATCTTCAGCATCAAGAGCTCCAGCATCAGACTCCATTCCATTCAAGATTCCACGACCCCACCCCAACCATATTCAGATTTCAATTAAAGAAGAAAAAAACAAGAAAACAGGGTGGTCGCATTCTTGAAGGAAAAAGACCAGCATTACCCAGCCCCAAATAGACTGACATTGCCGAATTCATCACCGTATCACCCAGCCCCAAATAGACTGACATTGCCGAATTCATCACCGTATCAAAGTCCTAAACAGACCCATAAAACAAATCTCCCGTTTCCGTTTTCCAGGTAAACCACCCAACCCTCCAAAACAAACGCGCAGAGCTCCCCAATCGAAACCGCAAGAAGAACAAGAACACGGGCCACGATCGCCAGCTGAGAAACCCACGACGGGTCCTTCACCGCGCGCCGTTTCGCCGATCAAGAAAAGCGGAAAAGAAAAAAAAATAGCAGAAGAAAGAGCGGAGACAGAGACGAGAAAGAGAGAGAGAAAGAACCTGAAGAGATGGAGCTCAGAAGCGGTTGGGGGTTACACAGAGGAGAGGAGCTGGAGGACGGAAGGGGGGGTTTTATAGAGAGGGAGAGGGAGAGGAGGGACCGAGACCCGTTTGGTTGAGAGCTTCACAGTTTTGTGGGGGGGGAGCGAATCATCAATGCACAGAGAGAGCGAGAGATGCGAATCTGTGCGTGCGTTCTTCTCTCTTACATGTTCCTCGGAGCCACGAATCTTCCTCGCTGGAGTCTCCGCATATTCTCCTGCCCCCGACGGCGCGTCCCACAGACGCCGTGTCGGACTCGCTTCGGCTGACCCCCCCTCGCCCAATCGCCGCCTCCCACGTCGGCCCGCGTCCGGACAAACGCCGCGCAACGTCTTCCTCCCTGTGTTTTTTCCCGCGGCCGACGGCGAGACGAAACTCTGAATTTTCCTGTATCGTCGCGCCAGTCAAAAAAGTCCATTAAATAAGGAGTTTATGTATGCTCTTACCTATTTAGGCTCATTGATTGCTTAAACATTTATATATACGTGTGTGTATTAGATGCATTTGTATTCAGAAGTTAGTCAAAGATAATTCGGTCTCGATTTTTAATCGTAGCTGAGTAAGCTCTTCGTGATTTACAAGCATCTTGGTACGATCTAAGAAATACATAATTCATTCTAGGGCACGATCTAAAAGTACTTGGCCATGAATCGGTTTCATTTGGTCGGGGAAGTAGCATCTCTCTCGACTAAACCTTGAAAGTCCTATGAATCGATAGCCTTTATTGGATCGATGCTTGATTTTGAGAACTGATTTCTTGCACACATGAACCGAGATGAAAAAAATCGTTTTTTTAAGATGAGAGGAAGAATTTAACCGAATGTTGAATGTGACAGGTTGTACAATGAGTACCGATTAGAGTCTAGCATATTATTTCGTATATAGACGGTGATATCCGGTCTTGAAATATCTAGCATTCCAAAAACGCACGAAAGTTCTTTTCTAATCAGTATCATTCCTTGAGGGAAGAATATTCCTTTCATGTCATGTTGAGAATGATGGACATTCTGCTCATCCTATATATGTAGGATTTTTTTTTTTGTTGAAATGTATGTGGAGATTGACACAAATCCTTTTTCACGGTTTTATATGATTTTTGTCAGTTTTCTAGAAATTCAATTTATACTCAAATAAACCAAAAAGAATACAAGGAAAATCAAACCAAAACAAATGAGGTATTTAACAACGCTACCTTCGCAAAATGACGAAAAATCAAAATGATAATTTTTGCAAAAAAAAAAATGGAGTTATTTCTCATTCATCATATTGTTCGAACTCGATTACTTGCTGTTATCACTTTTTCAGTTTTCCAATTGAGGTCTATCTTATAAAGATATTCAAATTGGATTGGTGATTGATTTCTAGGTATATTACGAATAATCAGCTTTCTCTCGTGCATCCAAAACATGCGTGAATGATATGCTTGAAGTTCACTTTGAATAAAACGCATGATCAGTTCATTTGATCTATAGCGCTATAATTATGACTACATTTCAAGGGACAACCAATTAGGAACCATGTCGATCGACCCTAACTTCAAGAGTATAGAAAAATAAAACTAACAATTAGTCGATGGGAGATAAATGTCGGACCATTTTAGCATGCTGGAACATGCAATGTTATATGTACTAAAAAATGTTTTACCAGAATTTCCTTATTAATTGACGTGGCGCTTTCTTATAGGACGGTTAACAAGTTAATCATCCGATATACGGGTCCCGCTTGTCTTAGCACTAATCTAAAACTTGCAACATCATTCATTAAATAAGTTCCCATAAGATTTTTCAACATATTTGAAATTTCAAAATTTCTAATAATTGTACAAATACAATTTGGATAGAAATTTGGACCTTGGGGGAACTGGGCCACCCTTAGCCTCCCTCTTTCTTGGGCCATAGCTTGGCCTTCCTCGACTTAATCCTTTTCTGGTCAAATCCTTGGATTCATCTACCAAGATGGAGTTGTATGTGCCCATACTCTTCTCCTTCAGTGTGTATTTTTTTTTCTGGGCATTTTTATTTCGTGAAAATAGACATTACTAGAAATGTTAGAAAATGACTTTGACTATATACAACTCGAGGCTCTCAGCTAACACTAAATTAAAATTGAGTTTGCAACAGTTTATTTTAACAATTTATCTGTGCTTCCCTTTGTTGTTTTTAGAAGATCTATTTAGCAACCAACTGTTATTAATGGAGTGTTAAATGCCAATAATTCTTCCTCAGTCATAGGAGTGAGCATGGTCTGGGTGGGCGATTCCCACTCTAGAACCGGAAAACGCCCACTAAAGACCGGTTCCGAAAATTTGAAACTGGGAACTGCCCGTTGGATCCATAGATTCACCCGGTAACCGGAACGGTCTGGTTACCGTGTGGATCCATGGAACCAGTCCCACTAGCCAAGGACAGAGATGGAGACGGAGATGGAGATGGAGAGTCAAAGACGGTGAGGTGAGCATCGACCGAAAAGAGTGAAAGAGTGAGAGTGAGAGTGAGAGTGAGCATGAGGCGAAAGTGGAAAAAAAGTATTTTTCGGCTCAATGTGAGGTTGTGAGCTTCAAGCAAGTTAGGTTTAGTTGAAGGATTTAGGATTTTTTTTAAAAATAAAATAAAATATTATATTATATTACTAGTCCGGTCCGGGTTGGCGGGCGGGCGGGCGGTTCCACGCCTGGAATAGGGAACCGGGAACCAGACCGGTTCCCAAAAATTGGAACCGGGAACCGGACCGGTTCCCTTAGGAACCACCGGTTCTGGTCCGATCCCGGGTGATCCGAGCGGTTTCCGGTTCTTTTGCACGCCCCTACCAAAATTCTCTAGTTATATCTATATTTAGTCATACTGACAAGGTGTGGTGGTCTAAATGGCAAGAGAGTTCACTAATTTTGTTATGGGTTTTTGGGTTAAAATTTTGTTGAGAACACTCTAAAAGTAAAATCCCGAATGCATACGTATACGTGGGGGAGTACGCCTTTAAGATTATCCCAGCAGATTAACTAATTAAAGTGCATGAAAGTTGACACAGATATAAACTTGACCTGCTCTTAAAACAAAAAAATCTAGAGCTCTTAAAAATGTTGCTTTTTTGCGCGTGCACACATTTTAATGCTGTCTAATCTTTAAGATTGTCCATACAAATGACCAGTTAAAATACATGAAAATTGACCCATATATAAACCTGACCTGCTCTAAAACAAAAAACCCAAAGCTCTTAAAAATGTTACTTTTTGCGCTGACACACTCACATTTTAATGCCGACTAATCTTTGACACGCGTCATTCCTGTGGCCATCAGCTCATAAAATATGTACACCATTGAGGAAAATTTCTAAGACAGTTATCGGTTCATAAAATATAGATCGTGGACAAAACGACTTACACGATTTCACAAGATATTCGCGAGTAGAGATGCCGATCGAATAATTTTAAAGCATGACTTTTCATTTGACAGGTCTATTCACTACATAGTGAAAAAGATCAGTCATATTTCCAAAATCACCATCGAATTTAATCCACTAGACATGATTAGATCTGAGGGGCTCTTACTAAAATTGCTCATGCTCATGTGATTTTCTCGAGTTTACTCCTCTAAATGGACGAAGATGCAAAAAACCACACAAGACAAAAAAAATAAAAATCCTTTTCTGTGACATCCGAAATCTTCTATGTTCGGTGATAATATTTCAAATGATTTTTCAAGATCGTATTTGTCCAGAATTCGATGCTTTGAGATTATATGGAGAGATGACGGTAGTTGACCTACCACTATATTAGTTGTGGAAGAGGACTAACATGCTCCGAATTATATTTTTGATGATTTTTCAGTTTAAATTTACTAAATTGAGATTTTCCAATGATTCGATATGTTATACTAATAATTTTAGTAAGTTCAAAATATTTTTCTGACTTTGTAATGCTTGAAATGGACACTGATTTTTCTTATTTACATACTGATTTATTCAATATTTTGGTATCTTAACAAAATATCTACCTTGGGAAAACCTATAGTTGAGTCATCGAGCCTTTTTTAATGTGCGCACGTATCTTTTCATGTTTCCCTAAGCATTTCGACCCACATGTTTGAAACATTGAATTTGGCCATCAATGATATCATGCATGGCATCCCTAATGACAACATAGCACATTAATGTCCTTGATGATTCATTCATTTTTACTTGGACAAGAAGTTTAACTCTCACCCATTCATTTACTTGGGCAAGAAGTTTAACTTTATTCGTTCATTTGACTTGGCTGAGAAGGCTCTCTTTCAAAATATCTCCTTTATTAGCCCACTTGAACCTTTTTAATTGAAACACGTATATCTTTCTTCATGTCCAAGGCTTTTGATCCAAGATCATCAATTACTTTAACCTTAGTTATTGTTCAAGCCAATCAAATACGGCCATGTGTGATATTTTTGATAATATCCGTCCAAAATTTTGCCATTTGTCACTCAAATAATAACTCACATACTCTTAAATGGTGAAATTGAACTTTGCCTAGCAAATTAGATCATGCATGACATCATGAATGACATAATGTTCTAACTCTAATTTCATAATTATAACCTTAGCTCATTAATGCATTGATGATTGATTCCCTCTTTGCTTTGACGAGAAGGAGCTATCTTCATTTGAATCAATGTATCTCCTTGAGTTCATCTTATCAGAACACTTGTACACCCTAGCTACTCTTAGAGCCATCTAAAGCATTTCTATTGGAACACACATTCTTTTACCTCTTAGACCTAATGATTTAACCCAAGAGCATTTATTATCTTAACATTGGTTAATCTTCTCATTCTTACAATCTTTATCTTGGCCGAGTGTATTGACCTTGGCGAGCTTTCACCTTCCCAAAAATAAAAGCCTTCTCATCATTTACTTCCATTTGCCAACTTCCTTTTCCTACTTTCATTTTCAAGTCTTGAGAACAAAAGCAAAGACACCACTTCATTAACTTCCAATTTCTCCTCAACTTTCGTTTTCAAATTCCGTGAGTAAAAGTGGAGATCCCGCACTTGTGTTATTAAAGTTTCAGTCTCAAATCTTTCTAGTTGGACAAGGTGACTAAAGCTTTGAGTTATCAAGTTATTTTCAAGGCAAGTGAAAACTCTAGGGGCTAAGTTAGATTGATATACTTAGTACTCTTGACTTGGTTGTTTGATGGTTGTGGATTTTAGTTTAATCTTTGATTGTTAAGTATGAAAAAGTTTCAATGATTTCATATTGATTTGTCGATGTTCATTTGACTTGAATCAACCTTCCAATAGACATGGTCGTATAAAGGATAAGAAAAAGGGTAAAGATGTGAAATTTGGACTTGAAGATGACATTCACGCAATCCTTGTTATTGGCCAGCTAATTAAATCGTTGTCAATTCATTGATTTTTTTTCGAGATACCAATTTCCATTTTAAGTTATCGATTTCTAACTTGTCTTTTTCTAGTGATAGTATTACGTTGTGTTAGTTGACTAAAAATAGATGAGTCTCTGCATGTCGAGTTTGTGATTAATTGATGTCATAAGATTCGATAATGTAGAAAGTGGAATGGTGAAATTAAATTAGAAAGTGATATTTTTGTAATTCGATTTAGCTACCGATTTATTAGCTAAGTGTTGCTGATTAATCACGTTATTGATTATTTGGGTGTCGAAGTTCACGTGGTTGATTCTTTGAGTTGTCAATGTCCGCGTTGTTGATTTTCCAGTTGATTTGTCGATTGAGACCAAGTTGTCAATATGCAAGAAGTTGATTGTTAAGTTGTGTATTTTGTGTTATCGATTTATAACTTGTCGACTGTTGACGAATCTATCAATATATGACTATGTTATTATGGTTCACTTGGGAAATGAAAAGAGGTAAATGTGTTATTACTATTTATGTAAGTGATACATGGAAAAGACATGATGGTTGTGTTTCGGTAATGTTTTTGCATAAGATGATGTCACGTACCGAATGTTGATTTTAAGGATGGCTATCAAAGAGATGATAAATGAGTATTTGATTTCGTTGTTGATGCAAGAGTAATGTTATCATGTGCACTATCGCTATATGATTAATTGTGGAATAAGCATTATGAAAAGTAAATTCCGTCATTTACATATTTGTGGCGACGATGCCTAGGAATTGGAATGCCCCGTGTGTCGGGATGTCCCGGGGAGTGTTTCGAGATGCCTCGGAGTGGAGATGCCTCGTGTGTCGGGATGCCTCGGAGTTGAGATGCCCCGTATGTCGGGATGCCCCGTGTGTCGGGATGCCTCGGAGAGTGTTTTCAGATGCCCCGTGTGTTGGGATACCTCGAAGTTGGGATACCCCAGGAGTCGAGATGAGATTGAAATGCTAATAACGAATATAATGCATATATATGTGTATGTATAAATGCATACATTCATACATGCCTATTAATGAATTAATTGGTGATAATCACGCAACACAATATGTTATGTCATCCGCTGGCATTTGAGTGAATGATCTTATGCAATGTAGTTAATGGTTTCTATTGGCATATCATGATAGTCTGTAAAAGATATTCCGTGTGTATAGCCACTAGGTGATATTGGTGTATCCTGAAATAATATGTCATTTACTTGCTTTGAGTGAATGAATTTCTGTTTTGTTGTTAATGGTTTTCATCGTCATATCATGATAAAAAAAAAAAAGAAAGACCACTTGCTTATGCATTTGTCGTACATGGTTATTACCTTGAATTCACGTTGTTTGTATATATAAGGTTGAGTGATAAGATGAACTCCTACTTTAGACTTAGAGATTTCATTTACTGGCTTCGACTCATCCCTTATTTTTCAGATTTGTAGAACGGTTCCTTGGATATGTTGATGGAGGGGACAAGATAATTCTGGAGGCTATCAACCCTTGAGTTGGATGGTGGCTTGGTTAATGTTTAGACTCGTTTTTTGGTTTAGTATGGGAGTAGTTGTACTAGTGGACCTGACCTTCTTCCTAGAACTTTTGTAATGAATTCCATGTGTGGATAACTAATGTTGTTAATATAAAGAAGCGCTAATGTGATTTCTTGTATGGGGTGTTGCAAAAATTTTGTTGTGTTTCTGTATGCTTATAATAACTATAAGTAAAAATAGAATAGATACGTGTCGCGCGTGACTTTCTGGGGGCGTCACATTATCGAACAAGAAAATCGTATTTTAATAGCCACGAGCTCATCAATAACATAATTTTTTTAATCAACCCTTTTTCTTCTTTTTTAAAAAATAGATCTTTTGGATCTGGACGCTGCCAAAAAATGAAAAAACTCAAAATTACCCTGGCAGCAATTCGGTTCCACGCCGTCGAGGTTGACTGTTCTCAGCTCATCGGCACCGGACGGAAGACACGTGTCTGAACCAGGGGCACCTCCGTCATTTCATCCCGACCTCGACCTCGAAGCCGAGCCCCCGCACGCCTGTCGTGGTGCCGCGTCATTGGTCACTCCGATGGAGTCGGGCCGCAGGTGATCACAACCCCCCCAGTCGCCAAGATACTTTCCCACACTAAAAAAAACAAAACCGGTACGCCTTTCCATTTCACACAAAGAGAGAGAGAGAGCGCTACTCGGCCATGGCGTCGCAGCCGTGCGGGTGGCCGTGGAGTCCGATCCGCCCCTCGCCGACGAAGCCGTCGCGCTACTGCTCGCTCCAGGCGCGCCGGCGTCGCTTCGCCGCACGCTCTTTGCGCGACGACTCTCCTCGTCCTCGTCCTCCTCCTTCCGGCTCCTCTTCAAATGCGGCCGAATCAGGCTCTCGAATGCTCGAGGCTGAGAAGTTAGCCGCCACCTCGCGCCCGAGGCCGGAGCCCGAGGAGAAAAGCCGACGGCGCCATGCCGCCAGTTCGGACGCGGACGCGGACGCGTCTCCGGGGCGACGATCTCTGAGCTCCAAGTCGCTGCCGAGAAAACGGCCTCCGCGGCGGAGGATGCCGTTCGCTTCGAAGAAGGTTCGGAGCATCATTTTGCTCAACGTCGTGACCTTTATCTACGGTGAGGCGTTGCTTTCTTAACCTGTCGTCGTTTTCGATTTGGCTGCTTTAGAAGTTGGAGGAATGTTTGAGAACCGTCGGCATTTGTCAATTGACTTTGTGCGCGGCGGTAAATGACATCCTTTTTGGAAGTGGCACTTGATTTTAATATTCAGGATGGATGAAGTGGAGAAATGTAATTAATGATTTGGCGCGACTTTGTTGTGCCGCTTGAGCTTGCTTGCAAATTTAGGAAAGATTATAAGAAGGCCGACGATGTTTGGTGGAATGGAACGCTGAATGGCCAGGCAGTAACGTGTGTAGGAAGATATTGTGGTGGAAATGAGAGTTCTTTGTCGCATGTGTAGGTGCTCAAGGAAAGATGTGATTAAAGATGAGTATATTGAGGACAATGGCGGAGTCAAATGAGAGAAGCTCGTCCGAGGTCGTTCTGAACGGTGGTCTCGAGATGGTCCACCGTGAAGATGCAAATCTATGATGTGGGTGCAAATTAAAAAGGATAGACTACAACTCTAGAGATCCGGAACAAAAGTGATTTGAGCCCTTAGTCTTAAATCTTGATGGAAATGAAGCATAGTGAGTAAGATAGACAGTTGATTAGCTGACCCCTGCACTCAATGGGATAAGGTTGGATCGTTTTTGTTGGTTTCATTTTCATAGGCTCGCAAGCTCTTCTCACTGGGCTTGCTAATAGTCCATTCGACATTTCACAGACTGTCCCCTCCATACCCCAATCTGACGAAATGGGATTTTGCTTGCCATGCAGAAGTTTTACGAGGCTCAATACGCCATTTGAAATTTTAAGCTCATGGTTACACGGGTGGATCTTACCTTATGTGTCTATTTTTGTGAAACCTTTGATATCAGCAAAATTTTTATGCTTGAAGATTTTGGTCAGATAATGTTGCTTCTCTTTAGCAAACAAACCTTGGAGCAAGAGATATGGAAGTGAGAGCATGTGGTTTTAGATTAGGGGCGTTAGTTTCCAAAGTCTTGCATTGTCCGATGGTTCAAATAATGTTGATCGGTGGAATGAAGGATGGCATCCTGTGGGGTTTCATAAATGAGAAGTTATTTACCAAGCTAATTTTAGAATGTTCTTTCTCCAATTGAGTCATTATTTTCTTTTAGTAGGATGCTAGTTTACTGAAAAAATTATATGTTATGCGAACTATCCGTCTCTTTGCATGCATGATGACTTGGGGGAAACTGCCAATTTTAGTTAGTTCTGAAAAAGGGAAAAATATTTCAAGCATATCGATTTTTTCCAGTAGTCATGTACATTTAATATGCATGGAGTCATCTACTTAAGTTGGAAATGCAAGTATCCTTATTCTTATGATGTTTAGCTTGATGCTTCTGTGTTTTTTTTTTTTTGAGTTTATCAGGTTGATGCTTCTTTGTCTCTGAATCATGTTAGACTCTTCCAGTTTGTCTCTTTTGCAACTCTGATTGAATTGTCTTTGGTTCTTTTGTGGTGTAGCGAGTAACATTCCAGTTGTGAAAGAGGTCGAATCAGTCACGGATCCTGCGGTTTTTAATGTTGTCAGATTTGCTGTTTCAGCGATTCCATTTGTCCCCATGGTGATTCAATCATGGGATGATGTTCAGACACGCAATGCAGGAATAGAGTTGGGGATTTGGGTTAGCCTAGGATATCTTATGCAAGCACTTGGTCTACTCACATCTGATGCTGGTCGTGCAACATTTCTGTCTATGCTAACTGTGAGTTCCTTGATAATGTGTTTATTTATTTTTCAGCCGGAACCTTATATTGTCCGGTAATTGCTGAAGAGCAGCTTGCTCTAAAATAGTATGTTGAGGGACAAATTTCAACGTATTGTGGCTAAAATTTTCAGATTATTGTGGTTCCATTGCTCGATGGTATGCTAGGAGCAATAATTCCCACTCGCACATGGTTTGGAGCTTTTATGTCTGTTATTGGTGTTGCAATGCTGGAATCTAGTGGATCACCTCCATGTGTAAGTATCTTCTGTGCTTCAACATTGACAACAATTTCTAGACTGATAGGGCAATTAATGAAGGACATGCACAAGCAGGTCCATTGGATCATAATTTCTATGAGGTTGTTATGAAGATTATCCAAAATCTCCTGTTTGGATAGTCTAAGTAGTTTTGCTTGAAAACAATAGGTCGGTGATCTATTAAACTTCTTGAGTGCAATATTCTTTGGAATCCACATGTTAAGAACCGAGCGCATTTCCAGAGCGACGGATAAAAGGAACTTCCTACCTCTGCTCGGACATGAGGTTTGCTTACACCTTATTCTGTTCAACATTTACAAGTGACCGCACCGCTGCTTGTTTCTTGTTTATATGGACAAACATTTGTAAACTCTCATCAGGTATGTGTAATTGCTATTTCATCCTCATTGTGGTACTTCATTGGAGGCTGGATTGGTGGCAACCAAGAAGTTGATGCATCGTCTTGGACATGGCCAATGATTTGGGATTCTGTGGTTCAGTTTCCGTGGATACCAACACTTTACACAGGCATATTCTCAACTGGTTTGTGCTTATGGGTAGAGGTATACCTCTCTCTCTCTGGGCTTAGCTTTTTATTTTCCTTCATTGCAACTCAAGTTAGTTTGACACAGGTATGTGATTTTATAACCATATTATGATCTGATTTAGATTCTGCTGTACCAGTATCACGCTACCTCTGCTTTCAAGAGTTTCCTATAAATAGAAGCTTCTATTGTGTTACGTTATTTCCCCCTAGGCCCTCATTTTTCTAGCCATTATTCTTGGGCTGCCTCTAGAGAAGTGGATTTATATGCTGGCTCCTTGCAATTGAGGCCTGAAGCTCCCCAATTCTTCAAAGTAATAAGTGGTTGATTCAGATGCTGCATCCTGAACACCATCATTTTCAATTGCAGTGGCATCTTTTTTGCCGCTTAAGCATCAGATATTAAAAGCGAACTTTTCATGATCACATTTCGTAATTTTTGCAGATGGCTGCTATGTGTGATGTATCTGCCACTGAAGCAGCCATAATTTATGGGTTGGAACCAGTTTGGGGTGCAGGTTTTGCATGGTTACTCCTTGGGGAAAGGTGGGGCATCACTGGCTGGATTGGTGCTGCACTAGTACTGGGTAAGAATGTTGTACATACATTTGTCTTTCCCTCCTTGCCTGTGGGAATTACATCCACAAGTCGATGTTATATCTGCCTCAAAGTTATAGGTGAATCTACATGATTGAACAGTCCTCTGTGTTTAAAAGTTCTACATCATGCATTTGTTAGATAGACTTTGTTCCCCCACAACCGCCACCAAAAAAAATGTGGTCGTTTTGCCCCTTTCTCTCTCCTGTGCTATCTCAAGGTCAAGTGATACTAACTTACTGCTATATTTGGGTTATTGTTTCCTTGTCAAGTGCTAATACTGGATGAGATCCATGCACAGTTAGGTGGTCGGACTGAGGTTCGAATTGTTAATCAGAAGGCTCAGTTTTCGAATTATGAATCATATACAATTCAGTAAAAAAAGTCCTACAATGGCTTGAAAAAGAGGCTAAAGTCACTATATTAGGTATTAGCTCCAGAAATTTGTAAAATAACCTAACCTGTTGAGAATCTGGTGAAACAATGGCAAATATGTGTTCAATGTCCAACAAAATCAATCCATGTTATCTCACAAAAGAGAAAATTATCAATCTGATTCTTCATTTTGTTGGAAGTAGGCTCTCTCAAAACTCCCCCTAGCCCTTTTCTTTTGAAACAGCCATTCATATTGTCTCTCAACAACAAATGGTCATGTGTTGATTCTGCTATTATGTTCTTGTTAGAAGTCCAAATTGTAAAGAATTGCAAGTTAGTATCTCTTCCTTCATTTTGTTAAAGAGTAAAAAGGCGAGGAAGATGAATAGCATGGTCTTACAAAAATCCTATTGAGTTAATGCATCTAACTTGAAGAATTTATGATTATTGTCAAATGCTGGCTGTCATGGGTAAACCACAGGTTGACCATGTATGACGATTGACAATGTAGTGTTCCTGTAGCAGCTAATAACTTTCTGGTGCTTCTTATGGTCCCATGTTTGTGGCTTTATGCAGCTGGAAGCTTAACTGTGCAAATATGTGGCTCTTCACCTCCATATGAATTGGATGACGATGAGGAAATGAGTAAGAATGTGCTGGTTTCACATGAACAAAGCGGCTTATCCTCTTCCCCAGTTGTTGTCAGTTCCAAGAAGGGTATTCCTGACATGTTCAAGAAGTAAGAAGAGGTATCTTGATGTTTCTTGGTTGAAGAATTTCGTCATTCTTTTATTGCAGACTCAATGTTAATGAGTCCTGCTGATGGATGGTCGGCGGCGGCTCTAGGGTTCTGCCTTTGCATGTGAATTTATATGTATATGTGTATATCTGTATATACGAGGAGATACTAGGGAAGAAGAAGATAGATAAATGCGTAGGTGCTGCCATCCCTTTATTTTATTCTGAGGATGGTCATATAACAATGTATATTGGATAATAAAGATCTATAATCATGATAAAGAGGATAGAGAATGATCTAGCACCACTTGGCTCTGTACATTGCATATTTCGTGAGGGGGGAAAATAAACACAGAAAATCAAAATCCCTTTTGGGGATAAAACATGGACCCAAGGCATGCTTTAAGGATGTGGTAAATTTTGTGCCTTGTTAGATTGTTGGCCCTCGGTCTGTTCCTTTAGTGTAGACCACATCAAAGAGCTTTCCATCTCCTATTCAACAGAATTGCTTCAGAACCTGCGAGTTTCCTTCAACGTATCAAATGTTTGTTTCTTGTGGTTATTGAGATTCTTGATCCCTTTTCTTCTCTTTGGAAGGAGAAATGTCCTTTTCAACCACAGTGCGGGCCCATGCGTGTATGTGATTGCCAATAGAAAAAAATTGCTTCATTTACTTGTCTATAGCTAGTCTTTTGGTTTTGGTCCATACGCATCATTGTGAGGCTTTTTATCTCTTCGGCCGATTATATTACTTAATATGGTCCTGCAACTTTAAGGGACTTCCAACTGTTGCCTCCCGCTGAATTTCTTGCCTCCCACCAGCACTGGTCTAACAAAGAATGCCGAACTGCTATTGCATGGGAAAATTACCAAAAAAGTCCTAAACCTTTTGGAGTTGTGCCAATTCAGTCATAAACTTTTTTTTTTGGCCAATTCAGTCCTAAACCTTTTGCAAACCAGCCAATTCAGTCCTTTTGGCTGGCCGGCACTGACGTGGCCGCCGGCTGGCTGACGTGGCGTCGGCCGGCCTCCACGTGGCAATATTTTATTATTTTCGAATTTTTTTTCCTTTTTTCTTTTTTTTTTCTTTTCCTTCTCCCCCTGGCCTGTCCGGCCAGGGGGGAGGCTTGCCGACGAGGGCCCAGCTCCGGCGAGGCGAGCTGGGCCCTCGCCGCCGCTGGGCGAGCTCTCCCAGCTCCGGCGAGGCGGAGCTTGCCCAGCCAAGGTGAGCTTCGCGTCGCCGGAGCTGGGCGAGCTTCGCCCTCGCCCAGATCTGGCGAGGCGGAGCTCGCCATGGCAGGGTGAGCTCCGCCCTCGCCTAGATCTGGCGAGGCTCGCCCAACGGCGGCGAGCTCCCAGCTTGCCATGGCTGGGCGAGCTTCGCGTCGCCGGAGCTGGGCGAGCTTCGCGTCGCCGGAGCTGGGCGAGCTCGCCATGGCTGGGCGAGCTCTGTGTCGCCGGAGCTGGGGTGAGCTCGCCATGGCTGGGCGAGCTCTGCCCTCTCTCAGATCTGGCGAGGCGGAGCTCGCCCAGCCATAGCGAGCTGGGCCCTCGCCCAGCTCCGGCGAGGCGGAGCTTGCCCTGCCATGGCGAGCTCCGCCTTGCCAGATCTGGGCGAGCGCGGAGCTCGCCCAGCCATGGCGAGCTCGCCTAGCTCCGGCGACGCGGAGCTCGCCTTGGGTGAGCGAGCTCCGCCCTCACCCAGGGGCGGCGAGGGCCCAGCTCGCCTCGCCGGAGCTGGGCCCTCGCCGGCAAGCCTCCCCCCTGGCCGGACAGGCCAGGGGGTAGAAGGAAAAGAAAAAAAAAGAAAAAAAGGGAAAAAAAATCGAAAATAATAATAAAAATATTGCCACGTGGACGCCGGCCGGCGCCACGTCAGCCGGCCGGCGGCCACGTCAGCGCTGGCCGGTCAAAAGGACTAAATTAGATGGTTTGTAAAAGGTTTAGGACTGAATTGGCAAAAAAAAAAGGTTTAGGACTGAATTGGCACAATTGCAAAAGGTTTATGACTTTTTTGGTAATTTTCCCGCTATTGTATAGGAGCTACTATTTCACTTCATCGTGCTGCTCAACACACGCTCTAACCTAACTGAACATCTTTGACGCACAATCTTAATCTTTGTTTGTACAAAATGAGTTGCATCATTACATTATTTGTGCATTCACATTCATTTGCATAATTTAATTGCCTATGTGTCTCTCATTCATGACCAAGAGCAGAAGTGAAGTGGTGTAAAGGTGCATGAGTTGTACCATTCAAGCATATTTGAGTGATTTTGTGAAATTAGGGATTATGATTAGCATAGGCATCGGAACTGAGCTTCCTTCAGGTAAAAGAATCTCCTGGCAGTCTGGCTTACCTGATAGAAATGCAAGTATTGTTAATTAATCGAATTAATTAATATTTTTAGGGTAAAGATCATTTTTCTTTCCCCATGAGTCGACCTGCCTAATCCTTTTTGATAATGGAGAATATGGAGGCTGCAAACAAAAGCGGTTTGAAGTGATGGGTAGAATCGAATTCGCATCAGTTGCTAAATTTTCCGTCGTTTAAAGTCGAGAACACTGTTAAGGCCCGCTCCTGCTTGATTATTTAAGACAAAAAGGACGACCAATTGTTGACACCTAAATTTCAGCGCATCATTTAGTGATTAATTGCATAGAAAATTAGGGATTAAATTTTAATCCCTGAACAAAAATATTACAAATCGCATAGCATAAAGTTTAGGTTCATATAGATTAACTGCATTTCGCATCGGATCGGCGGTGGTAAGCGAGCTTAAAATTCATCACGTAAATCGAGCTCGGGCACCGAACGAGACTCGGCTCACTCGGAAAGCATGGGTCGAAAATCACACACAAAAGGGCTTGGTTGTCTTAATTTGAGCTTAAATTAGCCCATTATGCTTAATTAAAGAAAAGCCCAAATTAATTCAGCCCATTTAGAATTAAATTAAAGCCTAAACCTAAGCCCATTAGGACTAGAAAGCCCGGCTAATTGACCTAGGTTTACATTATAAATATATGTTTATGTCTCATAATCAAGGGGGCTCTCATAATTTTTCGGATCGGATTTTTAGAGAGACATACGAGAGAATTTTGAGAAGAGTGAGAGAGAGAGAGGGAAGGAGACTGCCAGTCGCGCCGCACTGCACGCCTGCTGTGCCACCGCTTGCCGCACTACGCCGGAGCTGCTCCGCCCCTCAGCCGCTGCGTGCCACCGCCGCGCGCCGCTGCCTCTTGCCGCGCGCTGCCGTCTCTTGCTGTGTGTCACTGCCGCTGCACGCCTGCCTGCCGCTGCCTTGTCGCACACCACCGCTGCGCGCGTGCAACCACCGGCCTCGGACGTCCCTCGCCCGCCCGCCCGTGTCGCCGCCTTGCCGCTGTACTGCCCGCCGAGAGCCGCTCGCACCGCCGCCGCGCCCGTAGCCGCCCGCACCACCGCTCGCCAACTGAGCCGCCTACACCGCCGTTAGCCCACCGCCTGTGCTGCCGCTGTTCGTTGCACAGCCGCCGGAGAGTCGCCTGTCCCCGCCTGTTGGCCGCTGCCCGGAGACGCCTGCCGCGCCGCCGTTCCCGTCGTGTCACCGTCGCTAGCCACCACTGTTCCCGACGTCACGCCGCCGCTCCCGACGCACCGCCGATCCGCAATCCCGATCCGCTGCAGATTCAAATTAGGAAAGAAATCTGTAAATCAGATAATTATCATATCCCGATTTGATTCGAATATTTGGTTGCCTAATTTGTGCTTATTGATATCTAATTTTGCATATTTGGATAATAAGTATTATTTCAATTAGGATTTTATTTCCTTTTTTGAAATCTTGGATATCTATTACTTTTCAAATTTGGATAGAATTTAGAATTTTCAAAATCTTTTGAATATATCCAAGATATTTAAGATATCTAATTTTTTTCCAGATGTGATCGATTAGGAAAATTTCCTAATCCGCAACCGCACACGTGGAAATAAATCTATCTATCAGGCTTTAGATAGAGTTATTTCCATAGCGGGTATTTCGAATTTTAGGATCGATCTGTCAGGCTTCAGATCGAAACTTAATTCGAAAGATTTAGCGGTTATATTTTTTTACTTGATTTTAATTTCGAATTTTGATAAAAAATGCCAAAAAGATTACTCTAGAATAGGTTAATTTCTTTAGTTTAAAATTGTATGTTTAGATAATTGGCATTTTTAATTTCGAATTTCATTAAAGAAAAAATACAAAAAAAAATAATATGCCCGTCATTAGAAATAGATCACGTCGTCGCATGACATATAGTTTGCATGTTAGGTTGCATTAATCACATGTCAATTTTTGCACGTCATTACATATAGGTTAGCTTTCATTTAAATAAATAAAAAATCAAAAAAAGAAAATTTCTGCACCTTTGAACTCTAAGTCAGGATTTATCAAAATTGTCCAATTGAGTATTTCTCTTAAAATTGGTACCGAAAGGGCGTTAGGAATCTAGCGTAACCAAGTCCCCGAATTTATAATTTCTGGTTCGCAGAAATAAAATAGTACTCCAGCTATTTTATTTAGGTTTCTAATCAACCTACCTTAAATGATTAGTGGCGACTCCCATTGAAAATATTTGCATGCTCACAATGGGACCTAAGTTGCGATTTGGTAGAGTTTGGGAGAACTCGAGCTAGGTTAATTTAATTGATCTAGTAATCCATTAGCCTAAGATCGAAAATCCGATTTTTTTTAGGTCGAGACACCAATTTGATAAGTTTGGGAGGATGTTGGGTTTGATTGACTATTCTCATATTCCTCCACTTGCCTTGATTACATGTAGAATTGTACACACGATGCAAATGTTTGGACAGAGAATTTGATCTAATTCTCAACTTTCCTAGGGAAAAAGTTGGGATTAAACACATGCCGACACAGTAGAAAAGTAATTCATTCCTTTCTGTTATTGTACGTGCCATTTCAACAATTTGGGCATTCATGCCAGATCGAGTGAACATCATTACTTGGATGGTGAAGCACGTACTGTGAATTTGATTAGCGGAAGCAAAGAAAGCCATAATTCGGTCTGAGATGGAGGGGTCACAACTCCACAGGGTAAAAAGCTTCCACTAAAACAACAGGTTTGTGACTTCAACAGTGGAATAAAGAGTGCATAATTGCGTGCACACCGCCGTTTGTATCTAGTTTATGTAAAGAAGTTCTTCTTTAATTTTAGAGAAGTGACTCCCCTAAACTAAAAATGAAGAATGCAATGCAAGGTACCTAGACATAAAAAGGAAAATGCTTCACAAATCGAATGACACTTGACATTTGGAGATCTTTTGGATAGCCGAATCGCCCCTGATGGTTGCTTAATCCCGAAGCCGTAACGACGACATGCGAAACAGGATTGTCGCAATATCATGCAAGGCTTACGTATGCCTCGTCAAATAGCCCAAAAGGGTATATCAAATTGAATAGCATGGGGAAAGTTATCAACCGCAAGCGTGCGAGTGTCGAACAGATTGTTCTTCTAAAGAGACCACGCCACAAAGTTAAAGACTTTTCAGACAGCCTTTCGCCTGTGATACCATTTTGACTTTATATGGGGTCATAGACTCGTTGCAAATTGCAATCCTACTTAAAGTGTTTAAGATGCTATATCAGGTGTGGCTCCATATGTGATTTCTCTAGCATGATCACCAGTCCAAAGCTAGAATATCTCAAACCACGAATAACCCGACATATAGTACGGCCTATGCCTACTGTGTGATGTATTTATAAGAAAGTACAATAAGATCTGGCTACTCCATTACATTTCAAACTACTATAGTCAAGTGCGTGCCGGTAAAATTGGGCATGAGATGTCAGATCCAAATCAATACTTAATCGCCAAATCCATAGTCGACGAACTCATGAAGAGTAGATGAAGAGTGAAGCTCGAGTACTTCATAAACAGCTAGGCTCATCTATGGCGGTGATCCTTGTATGTAGATTCCAGACTTGTTCTAGCCTGTCCAGGCGCGGCCTCACCCAGCTCATGAATGGTATCTACAAGATTAATATGGAAGGGAATAATGCTCGTATGGATGCTCATTATCGTCGGGGGAGCATCACTTCCTTTTTGTTTTGTATCTCGATTTTGCCTCAGGAGCCATCAACTTTCTTCCTTGTTCTTGCCCTTTTCTTTATCAAGACACGCTCCATCATCTTCTTCTTTTTCTTTATCAAGAAAGGCGCTTCATCATCATCTTTTCTTCCTTTTTTGGGTAATTTATTGCGGCCGCTGTGATAGTGAAGACACCCGAGAGAGAGAATCCAATGCCAATAGAACCAACCATCTTTTCTTCCTTCAACTAGTTAGCCTTTCATCGCCCAAAAAAAAAAAAAAAAAAAGGTTAGCCGTTCTTTTAATGTCACAATGTCTATATAAAGGCAACGCAATCATTTCAAATCACTCGCCCAGAACATTTTGATCTTGTTTCTTGGGTTTCTATTCTTGGTGTGGGTTGCTCATATTTCTAGGGTTTGTGACAAGAGCATGGCTCGGACACGTAAGCTCGAAAAGCAAGCACTGATCAAGTCCTCGCCAGAGAAATTGTTCGACGTTTACAAGAACAAGATCAACTTGATGCCCAAAATCAGTCCCGACAAGTTGCGCAGCATCCAAGTCATTGAAGGTGATGGTAAGAGCGTTGGCTCTGTGAGGCTTTGGACTTACTTCCTCGGTAAGCATGTCTGAGAAATCAATCATTCTACCAGGCCGAATTGTATCCAGTTGTTCTTACTTAAGTGTTTGGATGATTATTTTCCTCAAGTAATCCTCATCCGAAAAGAGTAACTATCTGCAAAACCCGATATCACATTTTAAATCACAAAGTCACTTGTCCTATCCACACAACATTGAGATTTATGTTGGTCACCTAGAATTTTCCTTCAAGTTTGTGTACTATGATGTAAATTCTCTCCTTGTTATAAGCTGAAATATTCACTGATAATCATGCTAAATACATATACCTTCTTGGCCATATGAAATCTGCTGACCTAGCTAGTAATTTTCTTTTTCAAACTTATGCTTTGGATGGAATGTATAAGCAGGCGATTCTGTCGTTGCAAAAGACAAGATATATGCTGTAGACGAGGAGAACAAATCGATCACATTTGAGATCATTGGAGGAGAGGTCACCAAGTACTTTGTGAGCTATAAAGCCACCATTCAGCTGGTCTCGGAGGGGCAGAATAGCTTTGTGAAGTGGAGCGTTGAATATGAGAAGATGAATGAACAAGTTCCTGATCCTCACACTCAGCTTGACTTCTTGATCACCATGACCAAAGAGGTGGACAATTACCTTGTCCAAAATCCCTAAACACGTAAAAGAGAAACCTTTATGGCATATGCAGGGGTGTGGGTTAATTTGCAGTAATTAGTAGATATTGATCACCAGCTTTCCTTGTTGAATAATTTGTGAGCATAAGATTCAGATTTCTCTGTGTGACTAGCTCTATTATCTATAGTTGGAGGGCAAGTGTTTCCAGTTCTTATCCTTTTACCATGCTTGATAAAGTCATTGTGTGTACTTAATCAAAAGGTTCATATGAAAAAGAACTTCATGTTGTGTTGGTTCTTAAGTTTTGTAAGTGCCATGTCAAAAGATTGGTTGTCTAACATCCCATTTGTGCTGATTTGATCCATTGCATGTTCTCCAGGTAAGTTGGCATAAGTTTCGTAGGTTGTGCTAGAATCCATGTGATTCATATGCATCCGTGATTCGAAAAACTACGAGACATGTGAATCTACATGTGAGGTTCACCTGATTTAAGGACTGCTATTCATAGAGACTATGTTTGGTCATGATATTTAGTCGGATATAAAATGTCCGATACCTTATTGAAGAAGTACTAGGATATGAAGTTTGATATAATTATTGGTCAGGGTCATGTGATATGATTACTTTTGAAATAAATAATTATTAAACGTCAAATTATAACAAAAAGCACTTTGAAAACCCAACTGGAGAGAGAATTGTGGCGTTTGTCAAATTCGAACTGACTATTAGCTCTCCGGAGATCCTATTCAGACTTATCCGACCTCCTAGGCGAGATCACTTTATCGGGGAGATACTCAATCTATATATTCGGAAATATCCTAGTCAAAGAGGACACTGAACACTTATATACAGGATGCTAAACGTAGCATATATTAAGTCAATGCAAATATTGTTTCCCTTTCTACAAAATCAGCTCAACATCAAAAAGGGGATTTCCTCCTCTTTGCATTCTTTATTGGATTGGGCCAAAAATCGAAGTTTGTGAGTGCATAGGCTTGCACCTATCAGGCCTTCCTGACGGATTGGGCTTCGCCTAGTATTGTATAAATTGTGATGTATAATTTATAACGTAAAAGCTAAATTGTCGAAAAGCTTGTAGTTGCATTTCAAATCTATGGAAAATAACAAAAATCATCTTCTCACCTTACTTCTTATATCAAATATATTCCTCACATTTTAAAGTTACAATTATCATCATCACTTTTTATAGTTGATTTGAAGATGCATTTCTCACTCACACATAGCTTACCAAATCGTCCATTGAACCGGCCCAATACTTACTTTTGCAAGCAATGGTCAATTTCGGCTACAATCTGGTATGACGGGTTCAAGTTTGAAGATGTCGATTCTACATGCTAGTTGTCGACTTGCAAAACTAGTTGCCGATTACATGATTGCCGATCGACTACCAAGATGTTGACTTACACATTTATTGTTTACTTCGAATCTACTAATTGACTACCTAGAGGGTAGAGGCTATTTCTGGCCGATTTCTTTTACTATTTGTCGATCTTCCAAGGTGTCTATTCAATTGCCCAGACCGGTGGACAAATGTAGAGGATCAAGTCAAGTTACAATAATGCATTTAGTCCTAATTATTAAGCGTCTTAATACTTAGTTTTATGAGTCTTAAGTCCTCGTTTCAACAAGTCTTTAATTTGGTGTTGCTTTCAAGAGTCTTAATTATGTAAATACTGCAAGAGTCATCTTGGTTTCTAGGATTCAAAGAGTCTTTTCTTTTGCTTAGCAGAATTTCTCAATAAATAGAGATGTAATATCATTTGTAAGACAAAAGATTCGAATTTGATAAATACATGAGATTTTACTCGAGTGAGAGAATTTTTATCCTGTTTTTTTTTAATCCAAGTTCCTTGGTGGTGAATCAAGAAGTCTTTTATCCTTGGCTGGTGGGTTTCCTTTAGGCCTTAGTGGTGAATTTCTCCTATCCCGAAGTCTTTTCTCCTTGGTTGGTGGCTTGTCCTTTATGCTTTGGTGGTAAATTTCATCTATCCGAAGTCCTTTATCTTTGGATGGTGTTGTTTCTTTATATCTTGGTGGTGAAGTTCATCTATCTCAATCTTTATCCTTGGTTGGTGGCATTTTTTTTAATGCTTTGGTGGTGACCGTCGTCTAACATAAATCACATTATCACTCAAAACACATCCCACACACGCATCAATTTCCCAAACTACTCTCACTAGAGGCCATGGCCACTCTCTCTATCTTTTCCCCTGTGCCATGGCTGCTCGACTTACTCGTTGCAGCCATGGCCGCCAAATCTCCTGCTTGTCGGCAATCAGACGATGTCGGAGTATGACGTAGATGAGATTTAGTCAATATGGATGCTTACATGGGTACCACCGTGGGAAAATTTATCAATATTGAACCACGTGAGAGTATGATGTCTGTAAATTTTAGCCAATGTAGATGTTTATGCCTCACGTGGACGTTTGACATAAAAAATTTAATCCACGCTACACTCCAAAGGCCATGTTAGCTGGATTTGGCTAAATTGTTGTCGGATGGACTTGATTAAAAAATTTATAAAAGTAAAAAAGACTTGATTGGAGGTCGATTAAGAAAGCGTGAATGCACGTAATCGAAAATTATAATTTCTTTTTAGGTAAAACGGGGGAGGAGGATCTGGTGGTCTAAAAAAAATAAGTAAACACTTTTCTAAAAAATGTACACTTTTTCAAAGACCCTAATATCTAATAATAAACCCTCCTGGTCCAATCCTAGACACAGTAAGATACTTTTTCAAACCCTTCGCTCTTATATCCATCAAACACATGCGGATTCAATCACAAACCTAACCCCAATAACACTTTGAAAACCAAGGGAGACCCATCATTTTCAGAGCACCATTCAATGTCTCCCAACATTAATTTAATGCCTTACTTTTTTCGATCGAAGACAGTGAATATAGCATGAATCACGTGATTACTCATTCGACAATCATATTTGTTTGGCCAACCGACAATTCGAATTCGATACTTCACAAAAATTTGATCGTTGGGACTGACAAGTTGCCACCAATTATATTGCATAAGCATCAATGTAGCAAATGCAATTACTGATTATAAGTTATATCACACACCATTCTTTAACAAATTCCCAGTGAGATATCCTCTCCTTCATTTTCAAGCGATCACCGATTAGTAATCAAATACATCCACAGTGTATGGTTGGGAAAATTGTTCAATTAGTTCGCAACCTATTGCATGAAAGCGAATTCAATCCTAAACTTTTCAATTTTGCCGATTTATTCCCAAATCTTTGCGCGTCCAATGTAATCTTTCTGGCCAATTTAAATATTATTGATTGACTTATGTACATTTTCTTTTGATCAGAATAAAATTTAAAAGATATTAGATGGATTTGCTATTTTATTTACAAATTAGTTGGTTTTGTATAATGATAGGATCATTGAACGGTTTATAAAACCTAATCCATCTCGCGCACCGCACTAGGTAATAGATAGTCTCTTTTTATATTATTATGAGTATCTGCGATGTTTTCATTCTAGCTATGTAATGATATTCAAGTTTCCACCTTTAACAAAGCATCACTTTAGCATCTTCTTTTATTGCACATTTAGGCAAGTTCAAAAGGCAGAGTAAATTATAGGAAGAATACCATTTGAGTGGGAAGTTGCTAGGAGAGAATGATTACACTCCATCCAGGGAGACCGCGGATGAGCCTATGATCAACCAAATTTCTAGGGTTTTGTCTGGTCATGGATGACTTTCTTCAATGACAATTTGGTGCTCACCCTAGAGCTCTGTTTGGAAGAGAGGGAGGGGAGGAAAGAGAGAAAGAAGCAAACGCACCAACTCTAAACCTTCGCTTCTCTTCCTTCTCATCAGAATTTTCAACCCTAATTTTCATCACCTCATCACCTCCATTTTTCCTCGCTTCCCAAGCAAAACCTAAAGAAATAGAGGAAGATTTTTCGGGGAAATTTTTTCAAAAAAACTAAACTAATTACACTTTTGTCAATTTAATACTAAACTTATTGCATTTTTATTAATTCAGTCATAAACCTTTTTACTTTTTGCCAATTGAGTCCCGAACTTTTTCACCTCTTACCAATTGAGTCAATCCACTTAATTTTGGCTAGAAATCGCTAACGTGGACGTTGGCCGGTCTATGTGGCACTGACGTGGATAATTTTTAATATTTTTCGATTATTTTATTTTATTTTCTATTTTTTTCCCTCCCTTTCTCCTCCTCCAGCCAGTTGGCAGGCCTCGGCAACCGGACATAGGCTAGGGCCGGTTACCAAGGCTTGGCGACTGGCTAGAGGAGGAAGAAGGTGAGGAAAAAAAATAGAAAGAAAAGAAAAAAAAGGAAAAAGAAAAAAATTCAAAAAATATTGAAATATTTTAAAAATTGTCCTCGTCAGTGCCATGTAAGTCAGTTGGCGTCCATGTTAGTAATTTCCAATCAAAATTTATCAGATGGACTCAATTGGCAAAAAGTGAAAATGTTTAGGATTCAATTGACAAAATTGAAAGGTTTAAGATTGAATTGACAAAAATGTAATAAATTTATGATTTTTTGGACAATTTTCCCGTTCTTTTATCCCATTGTTATGGTTTCCATCTGCTATCTCATCCACAATTCGTGCCATATGTCCACCGTATTAGTTGGTTCTCCTCATAAACCACCTCCGTCTCTTGGCTAGATGTTGATGGTGTGGCAAGATCCAGAGGAGGTGGCTCTTCTAGATCGTGTTGCCTCAGTGGCTATCTGGTTAAGGTGACAAGACAGAGAGATTCGACGCTTGATGACAAGTCAGACGCTAGCTCAGTTTCCACTCTGAGAGAGAGATAGAGAGGTCCCCTCATCGACATCGGTGGCAGGTGGCGAAGCAGCAAAGGTTGACATTGATGGGGGGCGATTGGAGGGAAAGAGATTGGCATTTGGTGTTGGGGGTAGTGATAAACATGATTTCAGGATAAAATTTGGAATCGAAAAACTGGATCGGTGGAAATCTATCCGGTTTCAGATTTTAAGATATACACGGTAGCTTTTATGTTCTAAAAATTAGAGAACTTACTTCGATGGATAGGTTTTGGGTTCTACCTAAAACCTGTAACCTCAAACAAGTTTTTGTGTTTTTCCTGGTCTATGTCTTTCCGTGATCTTACGGTATTTTATGGCATTCGATGTTGAGTGTATAATCTGGAACCACTAATCTGATCTTTCATTTTATGACTGAGACTTTTACTTTGTTAATATTTCATATTTTTCATGTGTTTGAATATAAGTTGTGGTTAGTGGTTGTAGCAGCAAGTGATTGTCATTAAAGGTGATGATTCACTTCTATTGATTAATTTATAATACAGGTGAAACTTGGATAGACCCTCGAACCGACGGTGGAATCTGTGACATGATAGTTTCAGGTTCTACGTTATGTAAGGTAAGTTTCAAGTTCAAAAAAATGAGGAACCCGTCTCAACGGGTAAGTTCCAAGTTCCAGGTAGAATCTGTACGAAACTTGGAATCGCTCCCTTCTAGTTGGGGGCAAAGAGTGTAGAAAAATGTAATTAGGGTGTGCTAGGATTGTTTTAATAGAATCTAATTTTTCCTAAGTTGTGAACATGCAAATTCAAGCCACTTTCTTGGCGGAAATGTTAATTCGGCTGTCCGCCAATAAGATAACCATACGCATTGAATATCCATATTTCTCAAAAGCTCCAGTGTATGTCACACAAGAAAGAAAGAATTACCATAAATCCTAAAAGTAAATTATGCTTACTGTGACACATTTATCTCAATTTTTTTTGTGACACCAAAAATTCAAAACTTGTATATGAGCGGTACATTTACCCTCCATTAGGGTTCTATTAAAAATTGCACATGGATCCGACGTGGCATTATTAATATATTTTCAAGGAAAAGTAGCGCTGAAGTGGCGCCATGCAATGTCATGTGAGCGTCACATCAAAAAAAGATTAAAATTAAAAATAACAACTAAAAAAAAAGAGAAGAAAATCCGAAGTACTTTTCATTGTATGCAAGCTTGCGATTGCACGACCAAAGCCCCTTGGGCACTCGTCCCTCGCTGCCTATTGCCGCCTGGACCTTTGGTGGCGTTCGTCGGCCCTTGCTTGACTACCCGCCATATCTGGCCATGGCGACCACGAGCTTTGAGGCTAGTTCTGGCTTCAAAGATTTGCACTTGAACAAATCCCCCCTCCCCCACATGTGAGCCTCTTTCCTTAGGGTAGCTGACTCTGATAAGAATCCATGGATCACGTGAATCACGTTGTGGGACCTAAAGTAGCGACAAAAGTGAACACCAGTCTATATAACAAACAAGCACACAACTTTTTTTATCAACACAGGCCAGATTTTGACAAACTTTGTAGAATTTCTGGTGTCTCAATCTTTGCGACAAAATGGCTCAATTGCATGGAACACTAGAAGCTGAAGTCGAACTGCAATCACCAGCTGACAAATTCTTCAAGGTTTGGAGGAGCGAATCCCACAAATTGCCCACCGCCACCTCCAAAAACATTCAAGGAGTTAAAGTTCATGAAGGTGACTGGGATCAGCATGGAGCTATCAAGATTTGGAATTATACCGTTGGTAATTCATTCAATTTTGGTCTCTCTAGTCACTAATTTACTCGATGTTGTCATTGAAATTCATTTGATGACCCTATACATATTGCCTAACTTCTTTCGCCGGTGCAATTGTATAGAAGGAAAATCCGGGGTGTTCAAAGAGAAGGTTGAGTTTGACGACGACAACATGTCGTTCACCCTCCATGGCATCGAGGGCGACGTCTTTGATGAGTTAAAGGTTTACAGGCCGGTATGCAAGCTCATCCCGAAGGAGAAAGGCAGTCTGGCTAAGCTGAGCATCGAGTACGAGAAGTACAAGGAGAGCGACCCTAACCCCGACAAGTACATGGCCTTCTTCATCGACATGACCAAGGACATTGATGCTCACGTTTTAAGCGCATGAAGGCAAAGATCATGGCATGACTGTGATCATATGTGTAGTTGTGCTACATTATGCTTGAGATTCTAGTACTTTCATGTATCTAGACCCAATAAATCAGGCTGGTTGATCAGGTGATGTTAAGTTGACTTGGGTTTTGGGATTATCAGAATCGTGTATTGTGTTCGTGTGTAATTGTGCTTGCAATAAGACACTCGTGGTTTTTGCAAAATGATTTGGTCATGGGAAGCTAGCACATTCTTCGATTTGATCCCTCCATAGATGAATGTCCAAGATTTCCAAAAAATGGTTGGACTTCGAGCACGTTCACTTAACCACTTCAGTTGCGCACTAGGTTATAGAGGAATCACATCGTAACAATGCCCAAATTTAATTGCAATAAACGATATCGAAATACATATGAAATGAGCTTGAACAAAGATTATAGTTTGGAAGTGTAGTGGATCCAATGCACACGATTTTTGGACATATTTCAGGTGACTTAGGAATTTTAGATTGTCCCCCGTGTGGTTTTTCACATATTGAGGTTCCAGAAAAGAAAGTATCCTAGAATTAAGAATCTATGTATCATGAAAATTATGAATCATAATGCGCAAATTTATAAGAATATATATCAAGATTTGATGAAACTTTACGCAAGTGTTTAAGAAGATATAAGGATACAAAAAAGATTTTAGAATTAGTATTGTTTAGTTAGTTTACGAAATCCATTTTTTAAAGATAGAAATTTTGAATTTGCTACTATTTCGTGATATAGATTAGATATATTATCCTTTTTAGGTTACACTTTTCTCTATTACCATTAAGTGTCTCGATTGGAGAACAAAAGGCTTCTTCATCCTAAATCAGAATACATTTAGAGAGAGAAGTCCTTTGATTTCACACAAAGTTGAGTGTTTGCAAGATTCTTCTCGTATTTGCGAATTTAGTGTTCTGGATTCCTGTTTATTCATTTACGTTGCATCAGTACGTTAAGATGCTATGACAATGACCACACAGCTTCTGCATTCTCTTTTTTTTTTTCTCCTTTGGCCATGACAACAATTTCACACATGTAAATGTGTGTGTGATGGATGTACATATAAATATTAGAATGTTGCTCGCACCATTGAAGCCTCAACGAAATTGGCTAATCCCAGTTTCACATACATACATAAAGCAATGTAAATCCTTCCATTTTTAGCTGTGGAGCACAAGTATAAGAAAGGGATGATCTTGCCACTCAAGATTATCTCTTTGAGAGGTGGGTTTAAGGTAAGAATAATTGTTTTTTGTTGGCCAAAGATTTGGGCAATGTGCCAGAACGATAAGATTTGCTACTCTATATAATTAGCTAAATATTATTTGACTAACGTTGTACGATTTGTGAAAATCCACGAGCTATTAATTAAATATACATTTGTTTTTTGCAATGCGAATGCTCATTCAATACACGGGTTAGTTACTGGATGAAGATTGGCTGACTAAAACATGAAAACGATGGCCAAGGATCACATGAATCATGTCTTGGGAGACCATGTAGGAACATATATTATGGAAATCAAGGGCCTTCATCTTCTACACAAGTGAAGTATATCCATGATAATTTCTTTGCACATAAGCCTTTTACTTCGAATTTTGAACATGTCAATATGTTTAGTTAAACCCACCTTTCATCACATCTCTTGTATAGAATTTCTTTCGCCTAATACCTTCAAATGCGCACTTAAACAAATCCCTCACGTGTGAGCCTCTTACATTAGGCTAGCTCCCCCATAATTCAAGTGTTCAGCTACATCAACATTCTCAGCTTGAATCTCCAACTTAGCCTTGCCAAGTTTGGTTATGTTTGCAAGAATAACATCTGCCCTTCTGACTCCCCCTTCATCGCCTTTGCCCAACCAAACTTAGCGACAAGCTCGAGACACCATTTGCCACCTTGATCAAAGAGCCACATTCGAAATTCTGTTTTTTGTTATATTCACCTGACATCGATCCTACTAACCATCAACTATAATACCACTTATTGAGACGCGCAACAAAAATTCGATATCTTTCATCTGTGGAGATCATTAAGAGGGTACCCAAGTCTTAAGCCCATCGATATATCAAGTTAGACTCATTTTCATTCAAAAGTTAAATCAATGAATTATGGGTCAAATTTACTCCTCCGTCTTACGTCGCACCTATAATATGGAACCTTTTTTTTTTCACACCACAACGACAATATAGAGCAATGGTGAGTGCATCTTATAACGCATCGAAGATACCTTGAGTCCACCTATTGGCCAGCTAATTGATCTATTTCATCATTTTATGCGCTGGGTACGATCTCAAGTGAACCTTGGCATATCAATCAGCTTAGAAGATGATCACCACTCGCAACTTGGGTAGAATATTAGAGCATATTATGAGAATGTACGAAATGTATGAATTAGGCATTTAATTGCTGATGACCGACAAGAATAGAAGCCTTATATTGCTTCTGTTATTTAACAGGCCTCAGCTATAATTGCTCAGCATATCCTTTTATTGGTCTAAACTACATTTCATAAAGCAATCGGCCATAAAAATTTGCCTGGTATGATATGATTAAAAAAAATACCAAGGACCACGTGAATCATGATGTGGGACCTAAAGTAGAGACAAATATGAACGCCAAAGTTATTATTCAATATGCAATGATTGCTATAATTTCCACTCGTAAAAGATTAACTATTTTTAAATCGATTTGATTTTTTGTTCTAAGTAAAGTTTCTTGAATTTATTTTTTCTGGGACAAGGCCAAATCTTGAGTAGGAGGGAAGGTCTCATCGACTCTATCCACTCTTTTTGGATCATCCCAACCGAAGAAGATTTAGGATCTTGTTGGAGGAGGAAAATTTTGTATGCATTCATCCTTGGGTGGGTAATTCACTTAGCTATTTAATCTTCAATTTACGATAGATAAAATTTACATCGCCTTCTTGACCATTTAAGTCTTAGGGTTACATTATTATTCAGATTTCAATGGGATATTCAGAATTTTTTGAACATCCAACTAATTCTTACAATGTGCGGCAATCCTCTTATATCACATATCGCCAGGTAATTATTCGAGACACGTAAGTCTATGTTCTTTGGAGTGGTCCTGGAAGAATACGCAAGTATGACGATTCAAATTCAAGTCTTGAATGAGAAAGATGAACATGCTTACCACTTGAACAACCCTTCTGATTTCTAAGTTGGATCATTTAGTATGATATCTGAGTCATGCTTATTTTAACCATTTCCTAGTTCCATTTTCTTTCTTGCACTCACCTTAAGTTTCTTCTTGTCGGTGGCAAGCATAAAATCTTGCCATTCTTTATTCAATCTATCATTCATACGTACTATATGGTATCTTAGAATTACGAAAGTGATCCTCAATTTTCCTATTAGTCACATTTTTCATATAGTGGTTTCAATAATATCAAAGTTAATGTGCTTTGTACCTTGTCTTTTTCTCAGAAAAAAACCAAACTTTGCCTTGTCTATTTTACATAGCTGTTTAGACCCCATGATTTGAAGCATATGTCTTTATCTGAGGGTACAAAATGTATGATTTCAAAAGTCGAGGACACATACTGAATAAGGAAAGAAGGTTGTGGATGATTATTATTATTTTGACTGTTACATCGTTTCCTTTTCATGTTTCATTGAAAGAGAGTTCAGTTGCCAACCTAGCTCCTTTTCTTCAAATCATCGCGATGGGATAGAAGTACCGCCCTTTTCCGAAAGAACCGAATTTGTAGAAGTATTGTCAATTCATGTGATAGCTTGAGTGACGTAGTGAAGACATCTCCTCGCATTAGGGTTGAGATAACATGTGAGTATGACTACAGCATGAAATTGACTATTAATTGGAGTACCTCCATTTTTCGAAGGATGATTTTGTAGAAATATTGTCAATTAATATGATATCTTCATTAATGGAGTAAAGATATAACCTCGCATTAGAATTGGGATAAGCATGAAAGTTGCTTATGGATTGGAGTACCTCCACTTCATCAAGGACGATTTTGTAGAAGTATTGCTTCTGGAGTGTTTAGATAAGCTGAAATCTCATAGACGAGCCAGAAACAACAGTCCACATAATGTATAATGCGCAAATTTATATGAATATATACCATGATTTGATGAAGACTTGCACGTGAGTGTTTAAGAAGATATAAAGATTTTAAAAAAAGATTTTAGAATTAGTATTGTCTAGTTATTTCAGGAAATCCATTTTTCAAAGATAGAAATTTTGAACTTGCTGCTATTTTGTGATATGAATTAGATATTTTTATCATTTTTAGGTTACACTTTTCTCTATCACGAATAAGTTTCTCGTTTGGATAACGTAACACTTAGAGAGAGAATTCCTTTGTTTTGACACGAAGTTGTGCGTTTGCTAGATTGTTCTCATATTTGCAAAATTAGTTTCTATATTTCTGTTTATCCATTTATGTTGTATCGGTACTTTGAGATGATATGACAATGATCACACAGCATCCACATTCTACTTTTTTCTTCTTTGGCCATGACAACAATTTCATCCTTGCATATATGTGTGTGATAAATGTACATATTCGTACTGAAATTGTTGAGTGTGCCTTTAAAGTTTCGACGAAATTGGCGAATCGCAGTTTCACATACATACACAAAACAATGTAAATCCTTCCATTTTAACTACGGAGCACAAGTATAAGATAGGATGATCTTATCACTCTAAGATTATCTCTTTGAGAGATGGGTTTAAGGTAAGAATCTTTGTTTTTTCTTGGCCAAAGATTTGGACAATGTGCTAGATCGATAAAATTTGCTAATCTATACAAATAGCTAAACATTATATGATTTAAGTCGTACGATTTGTGAAAATCGATGAGCTATAAATTAAATAAGATTTGTTTTTGGCAATGCACATGCTCCTTTAATAAATCGATTAGTTAGTAGATGAAGATTTGTTGACTAAAACATGAAAACGATTACCAAGGATCACATGAATCATGCATTGTGCGACCCTCCAAAAACGAGAAAATATTAAGTGATTTGCAAGTGCTACATCAATAACTGACGTGGCATATGTTTTTTCACCCCGAACCAATTAGAAATTGACATGTGAATTTAGTTAAACAAAATAAAAAATCTCAATTGACCACACTTTCCTCCTCCATCTCCAGCTGGCTTGAGCCTAACCTCCCTACCTCCCTCCGCCGTCGCCACTGGCGAAGTTGTTGGCGCTGCGTCCAACGCGATCATTGCCGGGCCTCCGACCTTCTCCGGTGTCTATGTGGTTGGCATTCCTTCACTTAACTTCGTTACGGTGGATCACACCTGGAGTCGTAGTGACGTAGTTGCAGATTTGAAAGTCGACCAACATTGCTCGCGGCCGTGGATGAGCCACTGTCGCTGAAAACGAAGTCGACCACTGTCGGACATCCAACCTTCTCTGTCGCTGTTGCAGATCTGGAAGTCGACCAACATCGGTCACGGCTGCTCGGAGAAAACAAGACAAAGAAAAGCTTCATGATTCATTCACACTTTTTTCTTTTCTCTTGTTTTCAAGAGTAGCATTCAGATCTGGGCTCAACCGAACCTTTAGATTTGGAATCGTCATGTTCGTGGCCATGGCTCCAAATATGGAACTCATGGCTGCGAGCTCCATGTGGCTATTTCAAGACTACATTCGACAGTTACAAAGATAAATTTGCAAAAAAACGTTGAAATCTATGATTGATTGGGTTTTTTTTTTTGGTTGAAGATTGATTAGGGGTTTACAAAGAGTACAATGTGGCTATTTAAAAACTACGGTTACAAACGGTTATTGAATTTAAAAAGATAACTTTATAATCCTATCTTCAAAACAAGTAACTTCCCGGTTACAAGAAATTACAACAACACTTATTTACAAGAAGTTACAAAAATCCAAAATAGCAGCACTAAACATAACCATCAAGCAATTACCTATTATCTAGTAATACTTATCTAAAAGAAGTTACATATCTTAAAATATTACTACTCGGCATTTACATGTTGATGTCGATGACTTCATCCCTAGTGAAGCTTTTCATCGATAATTGATATTTGCTATCAATAACTTCCTTCAAGCGGTCAACTAATCTTTTCATTGATGACTTCTGTTGTTCACCAAACTCTGTTATTATCAACTAAGTCTGTCACTTGTCGATTATCACCAAAAGTTGATCATTTTTTGGTACCACAATAATGTCACTTTCCTAATAATCTTCACTTTCAATCAATATCGAGGTATTGTAAAAATTTGAAAAAAAGAAAATATTTCAAGATGGTAACACTCTTCAAATAAAATTCTTTAAATTTACCTCCTTATTAAAATTTTAAGCTTTTGAAACTTTTTCACCCTAATTTTCATTTCCTACATTTTCCCTCAATTCCCAAACAAAGCCTAAAGGAGTAGTTGCAGATCTTTTGTCCCATTGTTATGCTTCGTGACATATGTCCTCCAATTATTTGGTTTTGGACACAAACAATCAAATTCCCCATTCTCTCTTCCTCTCCCTCTTCAGGAGCTGACTACGAGACCTGTTGAGATCTGACCATCACCGCCAAGATCTAGCATCATGACAACGAGGCTAGATCGGGAGGAGGTGGGTCAATGTATAAACTGTTGCCTCAATCAGTAGCTGGTTAAAGGTGACAAGATAGAGGGCGATGGGAGGGAGAGAGAGAGATGGGGATTTGGTCTTAGGGGCAGAAAGTGTAGAGAGATGTGATTAGGGTGGGTTAGGTTTCTTTTGATAGAATCTAATTTTCCTCAGTTGAGTTCACTTAGAATTACTTTTATTAACACACAAATTCAAGCAATCTGTCATGGCACCAATGTTAACATCGCTGGCCGACGATAAGATAACCATACCCGTTGAATATCCATATTTTTCAAAAGGTCGAGTGTATATGCCATACAGAAAAAATATATTAAGTGTATGTAGAATATTTCAAAGAAATCAACCCAAATATGCGGATGGTAATATCTATAGAGAAAGTCTACGTAAACCGAGATTATATCACAAAGTTGTGTACTAAGCGACTGTGACAGGCTTTTTATTAGGTCTTGATGGTGACCCACTTCATTAAATGTTTACTTGCACTCTGTCATGTTACTTAGTATACAAAACTTTGTAGGCCAGTCTTAGTATATCTAGCGTTGAGATCGGTGTATAACAATTGTTAAGAGCACAAAAGAAGCTCAATACCTTCACTTGGGGAGATGACGAAGAGAGAGCAAAACTCTGAACCAATCAATTCAGCTAGTTAGACTTGTCTCTGCTTTGAAAACTTGAACCAGTGAGTTATTCGGCTAAACTAATTGCTCCACCTTACACCACATCTTGGGAGAGCCCAACTCAGATCCTATAAATTTATCTAGTTAGACCTATCTCCACCTCCGAAAGCTTAAACCAATGATTTATTGAGCCAAATTAATTGCTCCACCTTAAACCACATCACTAATGTGAAATTTTTTTCACCTGATACCTTCACACATGCACTTAAACAAATCTCCCTCCACGTGTGAGCCTCTTGCGTTAGGCTAGCTCTCTCTTAATTCAAATGTCCTTCTACATCAACATTCTCAACTTGAATCTCTACCTTGGCCTTGTCAAGTTTAGCTAATGGTCGCATGAATAACATTTGCACTTCCAACTCTACCTCAATCACCTTTGCCCAGTCAAAATTGGCAAGAAGCAAGGGATACCATCTACCACCTCGATCAAAGAGTCACATTGTAAATTCTTGTTTTGAATATTTATCGGACATCAATCCTATCAACCATTGACTAAGATAACACCTGTTGAGACGCTCAGTATAATTTCGATATCTTTACCTATGAAGATCATCAAGAGAGACCCCAAATCTACGCCCATCAATATATCTATTATCTAGTTAGACTTAGCTCCACTTAAACATTTTAAACCAATGAACTATATGTTAAGGAAACCTCTTAATAGATTTTTAAGTTGACAAAACTATCCATATTAATTTTGTAAGTCTGATACGTGCTCTGGAGTATTTTGATCCAGGTAAATATATTTTGAAAATGGTAACTTCAATACTTCTAGAGAACTAAATTTTCTAGACATTCAGACTTTACGAGGACCAGAAGGAAGACACTCAAACTTTACGGGAACCAGATCGAGAAGTTCAGACTCTACTGTAAAAGTCACTCAGACTTTATGTTTAGCAGATGAAGAACTTCAGACTTTACTTCTGAAAGGTTCAGATCTTATCGAAGACCCACACTGACTTAAGTTCTGGATGAGAAACAAGAACTAGAAGTCATCCAGACTCTGAAACTACTCAGAACGAATATAACGACTAGTGATTTGGCGTGAATTTCACAGAAGAAAAGTTTTGATTGACTCAATTTTAAAATGTTATAATTGATTGATAATCAAACATTAAGGCAAGTGTATTTCACAACGGATAAAGCTCTACTTATGGAAACCAAGATTCTGGTTGTATGGGCGACCGAATTTAGCGTAATTTAGATTTTGTCAACCAACAGCTACTCAATCGATTTTATACAAATCTGTCCAAGGTGAAGATTGGAAGATGATACTTTGAAGACTGTCCAACGGCTAATTTGGAAGTGGAGGAGTATAAAAGAAGATTAACGAGGAGCAGAAGGCATAGAATGAAGTCAAGAATTAACAAGTCCAAAGTCTGAGCATACTCCGATTCTACTACTTGTCTTTCCTGAGCCAAAATACTGAGTTCTTGAGGAACATTTTGTAAGAGTAATAGTGTGAGATAGAGAGTTCTATCATTCACCAAGTGATATCACTCAGAACTTGTAATCCTTTTTGATCACATAATAAAATCTAGCCGGTAGGCTGTCAGCATGGGAGAGTGGAAGTAGGCTTGATCTAAGCCAAACCACTATAACTTCTTATATGCAGTTTCCCTATCTCTAAACTCTTATTCTATCTTTTATACTGAACACTAGCACATTGGCTATAATGTCTGCTGATAATCTAAATGTCTTTCAGATTTTAATCTTGATCATTTATTTCCGCTTTAAAAATTGATCAAAAGTTTTAGATCACCTATTCACCCCTCTCTAGGTGATCCTTGCTAGCTACACCACTATATGCCAAATATGGAACCTTTTTCGCTTGACATCCTCACACGTGCATCACAGTAATAATATAGAGCAATGATGGAGGCATCTTATAACTCATCAAAGATACCTCGAGTCCACCTATAGGCCACGTTATTTACCTATTTCATTATGTTATGCATTGGGTGTAATCTTAAGCTGACCTTGGCAGATCAATCGGATTAGAAGATGATTTCCACTCAACTTTCATAAAATATTAGAGCTCATTGTGAGAATATAAGAAATGTATGAGTTAGGCATTTAATTGCCAATGACAGAAAAAAATGGACGCCATGAATTGCTTCAATTATTAAGGGGCCATAGCCATAATTGCTCAGGCATATCTTCTTATTGGTTCAAAATACATTTTATAAAGCCATTCCCAATAACAATTTGCCAGGTAAATATAAGTGGTAAACACATCAAGGATCACGTGAATCATGATGCGTGGGACCTGAAGTAGAGACGAAATGAACGCCGAAGTCAATATAAGGAACAAGTCACGCTACTTTTTTCTCAACACAGGCCAGTGTTTTGACGAACTTGGTGAATCTTGGTGTCTCCATATTTATGCCAACATGGCTAATTTGCGTGGAAAAGTCGAGGCTGAAGTCGAACTGAAATCACCGGCTGACAAATTCTTCAAGATTTGGAGGAGCGAAACCCACAAATTGCCCACCGCCGCCTCCAAAAACATTCAGGGAGTCAAAGTTCATGAAGGTGACTGGGATCAGCATGGAGCTATCAAGATTTGGAATTACACCGTTGGTAATTTATTCAATCTGGTCTTTCTAATTATCAATTTTATTCCATGTTGTCATTGAAATTAAACTGATGACCCTGCCTAACTTGAACCTTCTTGATTTCGCCGGTGCAATTATATAGAAGGAAAATCTGAAGTGCTCAAAGAGAAGGTCGAGTTCGACGATGACAACATGTCGTTCACCCTGCACGGCATCGAGGGCGACGTCTTTGACCAGTGGAAGGTCTTCAAGGCGTTGTGCAAAGTCGTCCCAAAGGAGCAAGGAAGTGTGGCTAAGCTGAGGATGGAGTGTGAGAAGTACAAGGTGAGCGATCCCAACCCCGACAAGTACATGGCCGTGTTCATCGAGGTGACCAAGGACATCGATGCTCACGTTTCAAGCGCATGAAGAAAAAGATCACGGCATGACTGTGATCATATGTGAAGTTGTGCTATATTATGCTTGATGTTTCTAGTACTTTCATGTATCTAGACCCAATAAATCAAGCTGGTTGATCAGGTGATGTGAAGTTGAGTTGGGTTTTGGGAATTTCAGAATCGTGTATTGTGTTTTTGTGTAATAGTGCTTGTAATAAGACACTTATGGTTTTAGCAAAATGATATGGTTATGGGGAAGCTAGTACATGCTTTGATTTTTTTTTTTTGGTAAAGAAGTACATGCTTTGATTTGATCCCTCCATGGATGAATATCCAAGAATTGGACTTCGGGCGCGATAAATTAGCCATTTCGATTGCGCACAAGGATATATGGAGTAATCACATCGTGACAATGACCAAATTAATCGCAATAAGCATCATCGAAGTACGAATTAAATAAGCTTGAATAAAAATTATAGTTCGGTAGTGTAGTTGATCTGATGCACGCGTTTTTTAGACATATTTCAGGTGACTTTTAGGAACTTTCGATTGTTCCTCGCATGATTTTTCACATATTGAGCTTTAGCCTAACTGGCCAGAAAGAAAGTATCCTAGAACAAAGAATCTACGCAGCATGAATCGTAATTTTGTTCAACAACTTTTTGCCCGCACCTTAGTATTGTGACTATCGTTGCAATTTCGCCGATGATGATGAGGTGCAGCTTATGAACGATTGCTAGAATTGTTCAAAATGTTCTCAAGCATCGAAAATTTAAAACCTTACACGCAACTATATATATTTTTTTAAAGAAAAAGTTTTTCTCTCTCCCTCTCTCTTCTCGCTCTATCGTCTTCTTCAAGCTTCAGCCATGAGGGATGGTTTGAGCTAGTCTCACCTTCCCCTCAAGTTGATTTTGTTTGAGTCTTTTTGTTTATTTTTTATCTTTTCTTCTCACCTAATCTAGATCTGGAAGTTCTCTTCTCCTGATCTAATTCTAAATTTGAGAGTTTGAACTCTCCTGATTTAATTATAGATCTAAGAGCTATTATCTCTCGCTTTAAATCTAAGAGTTTAATGATGTTTTCAGAGATTTGTACTGTTGTACTCTGTCCATGTATAGGTCATCTGCTTCCAATTTCAATGACGATCGCAGGGGCTTTGACATCTCACTGAACTACGAAAATTTGCTCTTCCAAAAGCTAAAATTCAACATGTTTTAGTTGTCTCTGTACGGGGATGGTGTCTAGAAAGCCAAATCTAGGTGTGCACCGCCAACTGGCAACGCCGTAGTTATTGGAGAAGAAATTCTGGCATGTGCTCATCACTGATGATATATGAAATCCAGTGATCAGCCGTCGATTATTTTGCTTGACAAATCCATTTTTATGAAAAAAGTGTGTGCTTACCGGTGCTCTATTGATCCTCCTCGTTTTCTGGATTTAGCTTTGTTTTATTGAATTATGGGCTTTGCTCCACTAGGATTTTCTTTGCCATGAAAGTTTATGTACTTTTCATGTATTCTTTTAAGCAATGGACATGCGACTATATTGATATGCTAATTAAGTGGTGGCACATATCTTTTTAGAGATAGCTTTCCGTGATCCTATCACGTCAAAGCGAAATCAAAATGTCATGATGTTAATAATAGTGAAGGCACACATGTCCCTGTCCTCTAGATTTCTGCCATGCTTGGTTTATATTTGGTTCAGGATCACCAAGAAAATAGACAAAATTATTACTCAATATGCAATGGGTGCTGTCATTTCCACTCGTAAAAAATTAAGTATTTTAAATCGATTTGATTTTTTTTTCTAAGTAAAGTTTCTTGAATTTTTTTTTTCTGGGACTAGGCCAAATCTTGGAGCCGGTCGGAAGGCCACATCAACTCTACCCACTCTTTTTGGATCATCTCAACCGGAGAAGATTTAGGATCTTGCCGGAGGAGGAAAATTTTTTATGCATTCATCCTTTTTTTGTTAGGGTGATACTTCACTTAGCTATTTAATCTTCATTTTACGGTAGATAAAATTTGCATCGCCATCTTTACCATATAAGTTTCAGGGTTACATTATTATTCAGATTTCAATGGCATGTTCGGAAATTTTTGAACATCCAACTAATTCTTACCATGTGCAAAAGTCCTCTTATACTGCATATTTCGGGTAGTTAATTATTCGAGACACGCAGGTCTATGTTCTTTGGAGTGATCTCAGAAGAATGCGCAAGTATGGTGATCGAAATTCAAGTCTTGAGCGAGAATGATGAATACGCTTATCGCTTTTTTTTTTTGGAGAAAAAGGTTATTCAAGTCTTGAATGACCCTTTTGATTTCTAAGTTGGATCATTTAGTATGGTATTTGAGTCATGCTTATTTTCAACCATTTCCTAGTTCCATTTTCTTTCTTGCACTCACCTTAACTTTCTTATTGTTTGCGCCAAGCGTAAAATTCTTTCTGTTCATTGTTCAATCTATCATTCATACTTACTACATAGTATCTTAGAATTACGAAAGGGATCCTCATTTTCCCATTAGTTACATTTTTCATCCAATAGTTTCAGTAATATCAAAATCAATATGCTTTGTACCTTGTTTTTTTCTCAGAAAAAAACCAAACTTTGCCTTGTCTATTTTACAAAGCTGTTTAGTCCCCATGATTTGAAGCATGTCTTTATCTCAGGGTACAAAATGTATTATTTCAAAAGTCGAGGACGCATACTGAATAAGGAAAGAAGGTTATTATGGATGATTATTATAATTTTGACTGTTATATCGTTTCCTTTTCATGTTTCATTGAAAGAGAGTTCAGTTGCCAACCTAGCTCCTTTTCTTCAAATCCTCGCAATGGGATAGAAGTACCGCCCTTTTGCCAAAGGACAGAATTTGTAGAAGTATTGTCAATTCTTGTGATAGCTTGAGTGATGGAGTGAAGACATCTCCTCGTATTAGGGTTGAGATATGACATGTGAGTATGACTACAGCATGAAATTGACTATTAATTGGAGTATCTCCATTTTTCGAAGGATAATTTTGTAGAAATATTGTCAATTAATATGATATCTTCACTAATGGAGTAAAGATATAACCTCGCATTAGAATTGGGATAACCATGAAAGTTGCTTGTGGATTGGAGTACCTCCACTTCCTCGAGGACGATTTTGTAGAAGTATTGCTTCTGGAGCGTTTAGATAAGCTGAAATCTAATTGGCGAGCTAGAGATAACAGTTCACGCTAATGTGGCTAGCAATATCACCTAGAGAGGGGGTAAATAGGTAATTATAACCAAACTTGACAAATTAAAGTGGAATTTAAACAGTCAAGATTAATATTACGTGAAGACAGAGTTTGAAGAGATATTATGCTATAATCAAATTCCGTCGTGTGCAGTATATTGTCAACGATAATAATAAGGAGTTAATGGATAGAGAAAATTGCACAAAGAAGTCATAGTGGTTCGGTTTATTGCATGCTTACGTCCATTCTCCATGCAGACAACCTACTGTCTTGATTTCACTAGTGAATCAATTAGAGGTTATCGAAGTAAGTGATAACACTCAATCTTGATAGGTCTCACTATCTCATAGTCACTTTTTTTGTTTGTTTTTTTACACCTCTCAAAGATTGCTGTTTTGAAGCTCACTAGAAGCTCACTAAGAGTAGAAGCTTTCTTGGACTTTGGAATTTCAAATTCACGACTACTTGTTCTCTTCAGCACCAGAATTTCGTTTAATACTCCTCAACTTCCAATCTAGCCATTGAATATTTTTCAAAAGATCATTCTCCATTCAACCCATTGGACACAAATGCTTTAAGAAGACCGAGTAGCCGTTGAGTGATGAGATCAGAATTTCCCATTGATTCAGTCGCCCATACAACCAAAGTTGGGTTTCCATAAGTAGAGTTCTTCGTTTGGCAAGAATATCTTGTCTTGGACGGTTGTCAATCAATCAAAAATGTTTTGCTTTGAGTAAGTTCGTTGCAAAACAATCTTTAAAATAGAAGATCATCATTTTCTATAAAAGAACTCCGAGCCAGATCATTAGTCATTGCAATATACAAGTTGTATACTGAGTCTAAATAGACTTCTTGATTAGATGATATTGTTTGAGTCTGAATACTCCCTGAGTCTGAATAGATTTCGCAGAGAGTCTAAAGATGCCAAACGTCTTGACAATATTCACATGCAAGCTTTGGTGATATCCTCATATTTGCTCTAATGAAATCCTTGACATATATGATGATGTCTACGAATTAATATGACACAATATTCAAATGACAATTACTAGAGTTTGAACATTGTTTCTTCATGAATATCACTTGAAAATACTTTCGTTAGATTCAATAGTCACTATGGAAGGTTTTGTCAATTAATTTTCAAAACTTATTATAAAGTTTTTTCAACACACGCAATGTATATATGAATATATACCAAGATTTGATGAAGACTTACACGTGAGTGTTTAAGAAGATATTAAGGTTTAATTTTTTGTAGAGTTAGTATTGTCTAGTTAGTTTGGGAAATCCATTTTTTAAAGATAGAAATTTTGAACTTGCTGCTATTTTGTGATATGAATTAGATATTTTATCCTTTTTTAGGTGACACTTTTCTCTTCCACGAATAAGTTTCTCGTTTGGAGAACAAAAAGGTTTTTCATCCTTAATCATAATACATTTAGAGAGAAAATTCCTTTGTTTTCACACAAAGTTGTGCGTTTGCAAGATTGTTCTCTTATTTGTTAACTTAGTTTCTATATTTCTGTTTATCCATTTACGTTGTATCGGTACTCTGAGATGATATGACAATGATCATACAGCTTCCACATTTTATTTTATTTTTCTTCTTTGGCCATGACAACAATTTCACACTCGCATATATGTGTGAGATGGATGTACATATATGTACTTAGATTGTTGATTGTGCTACGCCTTTGAAGTTTCGACGAAATTGGCTAGTCGCAGTTTCACATACGTACAAAAACAATGTAAATCCTTCCATTTTAACTACGGAGCACAAGTATAAGATAGGGATGATCTTACCACTCTAAGATTATCTCTTTGAGAGATGGGTTTAAGGTAAGAATCCTTGTTTTTTCTTGGCCAAAGATTTGGACAATGTGCTAGTTGGATAAAATTTGCTAATCTATACAATTAGCTAGATATTATATGATTAAAGCCATACGATTTGTGAAAATCGATGAGCTATAAATTAAATACGATTTGTTTTTGGAAATGCGCATGCTTATTTAATAAATCGACTAGTAGATGAAGATTTGTTGACTAAAACATGAAAACGATTACTAAGGATCACATGAATCATGCCTTATGCGACCCTCTGGAAATGAGAAAATATTAAGTGGTTTCCACACGCCACGTTAATAACTTGATGTGGCGTGCATTTTTTCACCCTAAACCAATTAGAAATTGACACGTGGATTTAGTTAAATAAAATAAAAAATCTCAATCCACCTCACTTTTCCTCCTCCATCTCCAGCCGCCCTGAGCCTAACCTCCCAGCCTCCCTCCACCGTGGCCATCAGCGAAGTTGCCGGCGCTGCGTCCAAGGCGACCACTGCCGAGCGTCAACCTTCTCTGTCGTCTATGTGGTTGACATTCCTTACCTTAACTTCGTTGCCGCGGATCACATCTGGAGTCATAGTGACAGAGTTGCAGATTTGAAAGTCGACCAATGTTGGTTGCGGCCATGGACGAGCCGCTGAAAACGAAGTCGACCAAGCGTCTAACCTTCTTTGTCGCTATTGCAGATCTGGAAGTCAACCAACATTGCTCGTGGCCATGGACGAGCGGTTGCTCGGAGAAAACGAAGACGAAGAAAAGCTTCACGATTCATTCACACTTTTTCCTTTTCTCTGTTTTCAAGAGTAGCCTTCAAATATGGGCTCAGCCAAACCTTTAGATTTGGAGCCGTCGTGCTGGCGGCCATGGCTCCAAATCTGGAAATCATGGCTGTGAGCTCCAGATCTAGAGCCATGGCCGCTAGCAACGACGGCTCCTTCGGTGACGGCGGCCTTGGATGGCCATATCTTAAGAGCCGGCCAAAACGACGCCGGAACACAGCGCCGATGGATTAATGGTGAATCGATAAAGTATATGAGGGGGTCCTTTTTTAATTTTGGACAAGAAAGTAAATGACAAAATATTTAAATGTATGAAAATTGGAGGCAATCGCAGTCAACCATTTAAATTGCGAAAGAGTAAAGATAAAGATAAATTAGCAAAAAATGTTGAAATCTATGATTGATTGGGTTTTTTTTTTTTTTTTTTTGTGTCGAAGATTGATTAGGGGTTTACAAAGAGTACGATATGGTTATTTAAAAACTACACTCGACATTTACAAATGGCTATTAAATTTAAAAAGATAACTTTCTAATCCTATCTTCAAAACAAATAACTTCCCGGTTACAAGAAGTTATAAGAACACTTATCCACAAGAAGTTACAAAACTTCCAAAATAGCGGCACTAAACATAACCACAACCACCCAGCAGTTACCTATTATCTAGTAATAGTTATCTAAAAGAAGTTACATATCTGAAAATATTGCTACTCAGCATTTACATGTTGATGTTGATGACTTCGTCCCCCGTGCAGGTTTTCATCAATAATTGATATTTGCTATCGATAACTTCCTTCAAGTTGTCAACTATTCTTTTCATCGGTTGACTTCTTTGTTCACCAAACTCTACTATTATAGACTAAGTCTGTCACTTATCGTTTATAGCCAAAAGTTGATCATTTTTCGGAGTCAACAATAATGTCACTTTCCTAATTATCTGCACTCCCAATAAATATCGAAGTATTGTAAAATGATAAAAAACATTTCAAGAAAGTAACAATCTTCTAATAATATTTTTTTAAATTTTACATTATTAAAATTTGAAACTTTTGAAACTTTTTCACCTTAATTTACATCACCTCCATTTTCCCTCAATTGCCAAACAAAGCCTAAAGGAGTAGTTGCAGATCTTTTGTCCCATTGTTATGATTCGTGAGATATGTCAACCGATTATTTATTTTTAGACACAAACAATCAAATTGCCCACTCTCTCTATCTCTCCACCATCACCGTCAATATCTTGGCTAGATCTTGACGACGAGGCTACATCGGGGGGAGGTGGCTCCTGTATAAACTGTTGCCTCAATCATTAGCTGGTTAAAAATGATAAGATGGGGGGCGATTGGTGGGAGAGAGAGAGATGGGGATTTGGAGTTAGGGGCAGAATGTGTGGAGAGATGTGATCAGGGTGGGTTAGGGTTGTTTTGACAGAATGTAATTTTCCTAAGTTGAGTTCACTTATAATTACTTTTGTGAACACACAAATTCAAGCAATCTGTCATGGTATCAATGTTAATATCGCTGCCCGACAATAAGATAACCATACGCGTTGAATATCCCTATTTTTCAAAAGCTCGAGTGTATATGCCATACAAAAAAATATATTAAGTGTATGTAGAATATTTCAAAGAAATCAACCCAAATATGCGGATGGTGATATCTATAGAGAAAGGATAAGTATACCGAGACTTTATCACAAAATTGTATACTAAGCGACGTGACAGGCTTTTAAATGGTTCTTAACAATGACCCACTTGATTAAATGTTTACTTGCACTCTATCAAGTCACTTAGTATACAAAACTTTGTAGACCGATCTTACTATATCGAGCGTTAAGACTGGTGTATAACAATTGTTAGGAGCACAGTAGAAGCTTACTACCTTCACTTGGGGATATGGCGAAGAGAGAGCCCAACTTTGAACCCATCAATATATTTAGTTAGACTCGTCTCTGCTTTGAAAACTTGAACCAATGAGTTGTTTGGCTAAACTAATTGCTTCACCTTACACCACATCTTGGGAGAGCCCAACTCTGAGCCTATCAATTTATCTAGTTAGACCCACCTCCACCTACGAAAGCTTAAACCAATGATTCATTGAACCAAATTAATGGATCCACCTTACACCGCATCACTGATATGGAACTTTTTCACCTAATACCTTCACACATGCACTTAAACAAATCTCCCTCCCCGTGTGAGCCTCTTGCATTAGGCTAGCTCCCTCTTAATTCTAATGTCCTTCTACAGCAACATTCTCAGCTTGAGTCTCTACCTTGGCCTTGCCAAGTTTGGCTAATGGTTGCATGAATAACATTTGCCTTTGTGACTCTACCTCAATCACCTTTGCCCAGTCAAAATTGGCAAGAAGCAAGGGATACCATCTACCACCTCGATCAAAGAGTCACATTGCAAATTCTTGTTTTGAGATATTTACTGGACATCGATCCTATTAAACATTGACTAAGAAAACACCTGTTGAGATGCGCAACATAACTCCGATATCTTCACCTGTAGAGATCATCAAGAGAGACCCCAAATCTTTTTTTTTTTTTGTGGCCAAATAGAGAGACCCCAAATCTACGCACATCAATATATCTATTATCTAGTTAGACTCAGCTTTACTTAAAATTTTAAACCAATGAACTATATGCCAAATATGGAACCTTTTTCGCTTAACACCCTCACATGTGCAACACAATAATAATGTAGAGCAATAATGAAGGCGTCTTATAGCTTGAGTTCACCTATTGGCCAGGTAATTTATCTACTTCATTATTTTATGAATTGGGTATAATCTTAAGTTGACCTTGGCAGATCAATCAGATTAGAAGATGATTTCCACTCGCAACTTTCATAAAATATTAGAGCTCATTATGAGAAAATAAGAAATGTATGAATTAGGCATTTAATTGTTAATGACCGAAATAAATAGAAGTCTTGAATTGCTTCTATTATTTAACAGGCCACAGCTGTAATGGCTCGGTCACATCTTTTTATTGGTCCAAAATACATTTTATAAAGCAATAGGCAATAACAATTTGACAGGTAGTTATAATTAGTAAACATATTAAGGACCACGTGAATCATGATGTGGGACCTCAAGTAGAGACGAAAATGAACGCCAAAGTCTATATAAGAAACAAGTCAGGCCACCTTTTTCTCAACAGAGGCCAGTGTCACAACAAACTTGGTGAATTTTGGGGTCTCAATATTTGTGAGAACATGGCTAATTTGCGTGGAAAACTAGAGGCTGAAGTCGAGCTGAAATCACCAGCTGGCAAATTCTTCAAGATTTGGAGGAGCGAAACCCACAAATTGCCAACCGCCACCTCCAAAAACATTCAAGGAGTCAAAGTTCATGAAGGTGACTGGGATCAGCACGGAGCTATCAAGATTTGGAATTACACCGTTGGTAATTCATTCAATCTGGTCTCTCTAATTATCAATTGTCATTGAAATTAAATTGATGACCCAGCCTAACTTAAACCTTCTTTTTTCACCGGTGCAATTATATAGAAGGGAAATCGGAAGTGTTCAAAGAGAAGGTTGAGTTCGATGATGACAACATGTCGTTCACCCTGCATGGCGTCGAGGGCGATGTCTTTGACGCGTGGAAGGTCTTCAAGCCAGCGTGCAAAGTCATCCCAAAGGAGCAAGGCAGTGTGGCTAAGCTGAGCATCGAGTACGAAAAGTACAAGGAGAGCGACCCTAACCCTGACAAGTACATGGCCTTCTTCATCGACATGACCAAGGACATCGAAGCTCACGTTTTAAGCGCATGAAGGAAAAGATCATATGTGAAGTTGTGCTATATTATGCTTGAGATTTCTAGCACTCTCATGTATCTAGACCCAATAAATCAAGCTGGTTGATCAGGTGATGTGAAGTTGAGTTGGGCTTTGGGAATATCTGAATCGTGTATTGTGTTCATGTGTAATTGTGCTTGTAATAAGACAATTGTGGTTTTTGCAAAATCTAGCTAATACGTGCTTCGATTTGATCCCTCCATCGATGAATATTCACGATTTCCAATCAAATTAAGAGCTTAATATGTGGTTGGACTTTGAGTGTGTTTACTTAAACACTACGATATATAGAGATGCTGAAATTTAGTTGCAATAGACGATATAATGATACAAATTAGATGAGCTTGAATAAGGATTATATTCCGGTATTGTAATGAATCCAATGCAGGCGATTTTTAGGCATATTTTAGGTGACTTTCTAGGAATTTTAGGTGATTCCTCGAGTGATTTTTCACGTATTGAGCTTTAGCCTAACTGCCCAAAAAAGAAGCATCCTAGAATTAAGAATCTATGTAGTATGAATCATAAGTTTCTTCAATAATTGGTCTAAATTCATTTGAGCCATTGGTCCCACCTTAGTATTGTGACTATCGTCGTAGTTTCACCGTGGATGATAAGGTGCAGCTTATAAGCGATTGCTAAAGTTGTTCAAAATGTTCTCAAGCATTGAAAATTGAATTTTTGTACATGCGTCTATATTGATTTGGTATAATTTACCACAGTTAAGATCAGACAGATCTGTAAAAAAAAAAAAGATCAGGTAGATCTTTTTCAAAAACAAACAGTACGGTATGAAATTGAAAATTCCTGCTCAACTTGTACACTAATCTAGTCTACAATGCACTTCTTTTAACTGTTTTTCACACCTAACCGCATTTCTCATGAGAAACATTTGGGGTAATGGAGTAAAGACATCTCCTGGCATTAGGGTGGAGATATGACATGTGAGTATGACCTTCGGATGAAAGTTGATTATAGATTGGAGTACCTTCATTTTTTAAGGATGATTCTATGGAAGTATTGTCAATCCATATGGTAGCTTGAGCAATGGAGTAAAGACATCCCCACACATTAGGGTTGGGATATGACATGTGAGTAAGAAGACTATAGCCATAGAATGAAAGTTGATTATGAATTGGAATACCTCCACTTCCCCGAGGACGATTTTGAATGTGAAGTCATAATGTGATAGCTTGACTACTGGATTATAGATAATGGAATGAAGATTCCAAAGGTTTTGATATTAAAATCTGTTATTTCAGATGAGGTGATTACTGTTAAGAGCGCAATACATAGTATTGTCATCAATAAAGTTGAGGGTGGAGACCCAAATTATGGCGAAGGAGCTTTGAGCTCGCATGAAAAAATGCTAGAGTTTACTTTGCAGAAAGATTTTCAATTACCGCAGAACTTCGAAGAATCAACTACAAAGTTTAATATAGAAACTTTCTTTGGGGGAAAGTGTGTGGATCATCATGACGAGTTAACATGGAAAAGTAGAATCGTTCACCAACACTCGAGAATTCGAGGGCGAGTGTTCTCTAACCCGTATAAATTGGTGCAATCTAAACAACTCCTTGGAGTCGAGTTTACCCAGAGGAGGAGAATGATCCAGACCAGAGGATCATCTAAATTTTGGATTTTACTTTGTTTCCCTAACTATAAAACATATGATGCTATTTCTTTCTGAATAATTATTTAATTAGATGTAAGGTAATATCTCCATGATTTAGTAGATAATTTTCTTTTTCATGATTTATCGAACGTATGACAAGGAGTTCTATGTTGTCTGGCCAGCGTTAAAGCGTTGGGAGCATTACTATTGATCGGGAGAGAGTTTATTTTGTATTTCGGTCAAGAGGCGAAGTATCTGAGCAATCAAGAGCGGACTAGAAGTGACAAGCATGCGTGTCGGTATTACTTTGTTCTGCAGATATTCCTGTATAAGTGAATGCACAAGTCTGGCGCGTGAACCGAGTTGCAAATGCTCTTCGTAGGGGGGGCCACCTTTTTATCAGCGAGGTTGTGGGTTTCGAATGTTTGAGGGAATTGTATAAAAACGATGAAGATTTTTAAGAAATCTGGGAGTGATTACAACAAAAGCAACCTGGTGATGATTATCGTGTGCACGATGGCTTCCTAATGAAGGGAAATCAGCTTCGCATTCCTTGTTCTAGAGAGATTTTACTGGCGACATCTGAAACCGGAAGTTGGGGAATTGGTGCAGGGATGTCTCCTCCTGTCCCGGAGGAGATTTGGGAGGACCTCTCTACGGACTGTGTACCGGGTTTTACAAGTGCTCAACTGGTTTGTACTCCGTTCTTGTAGCGGTGGACTGGATTTCCAAGATGGCTCATTTCCTCCCTTGCAGCAACATGTTGGATGCGACAAATGTGGTGAAGCTCTTTTCTCACAAATTGTGAGGTTGCGCCGGGTTGCTAAGTCGATCACCTCAGATTGTGACAATAGGTTCCTTAGTCATTTTTGGCAAGTTTTCCGGCACTTGTTCGATTTGCATCGCGTTCTAGTAGCACAATGCATCTACATACTGACGGGCAGAACTGAGGTCGTGGATCACACTTCGGGTAATCTGATTCGAAGTATTTGTACGGATAAGCCTAAACGATGGTGCTTTGTTTCGGCTTAGGCGGAGTTCGCATGTAATAGCGCAACTCATTTGGCTATTGGGGTTCTCCGTTGTTTGCAAAACGGCTCCAGAACAGGTTCTTGACTTGGTTTCACTTACTAACTTGACTGACAAAAGTGTTGCTGCGCAGAATTTGGCCAGACAGTTTCATTCCACACGAGTGGAAGTCAATCAGAGACCGGGCTAAGGCAAACCCTAAATATAAACAAGCCGCGGACCAACACTGGAGGCGTAAAGCATTTGAAGTTTGCGATGATGACATGATATTCTTGCGGAAGGAGCAGTTTCCCGTAGGGCAGTACTGCAAAATTACAGCCAAAGAAGGACGGGGCGTCCAAAATCAAGCGGAAGATTAATGGCAATGCCTAGGTTGTTGATCCGCCAGGTTCGATGGATATCACCGCAGCTTTTAACGTCGGAAAATAACAAAAAAAGTCCTAAACTTATATCAGAAATTTGCCTAGTTTGCAGCATTCATGCTTACTACCCAGATGATGAGCCCCTATGTCCTGAACTTGAATCCAACCCCAGCACGAATTTTTCTCTAGTGGGGGGATTGATCCGGAAGCCATTACAGAGAAATTTCTGTAGCGTGCGGGCTTGATATAAGAATTCACGCAACGTATACAAAAATGTTTAAGAATATATATGGAGATTTACGTGGAAGTTTTTAAGAATATATAAGGATTTAGAAAGGATTTTAGAATGAGTATGGTTCAATTAGTTTAGGAAATCCATTTCTTAAAGATAGGAATTTTGAATTTGCCTCTATCTCGAGTTAGATATGAGATGATTTATCGTTTTTAGGTTACGATTTTCTCTATTATAAATAAGCGTCTTATGCTTTTTCCACGATGGTACGTGATTGCAAGATTGTTCTCGTACTTGCAAGTTTAATGTCCATCTAGATTTCTGTTTGTCCATTTACATTGCATTAGTACTTTGGAATGATACGACAATGATCACATATCTTCCACGTCCTATTTTTCCTTTGACCATGACAAAATTTTACACATGCATATATATGTGCGATGCGGACTGTTGTTGATCGCGCCTTTAAGTTTTCAATGTAATTGGCTATTCGCAGTTTGGCATACGTGCACAAAAGAATGTAAATCCTTCCGTTTTGACTATAGAACACAAGTATAAGATAGGGATTATCTTACCACTCTAGCATTATTTCTTTGAGAGGTGAGTTTAAGGGTGCGCATGAATACCATTCTGTGCCCGGAAACTATTTCTGAATAGAAATGATTTTTTTTGATTCTGTGCCCGGAAATAATTTCTGAGTATTTGAAGGCGTTTGATAAACTGTTCAAAATTTCTATTCCTAGAGTAGAAAAGAACAGAAATGCGTTTGGTAATTACACAAAATTTCTGTTCCCAAATAATATTTTAATAATATTTTGAATTGTTAAATTTTTTTTTTCTTTCTACCATTTTCTTCTTTGGCCATGGCCGATGCGCCGCGAGCAGGCCGGCGGCCCAGCCACCCCAGGGCAGGCGAGGGCGTCACGGCCCTCGGCGCCCGCGGCGGAGGCGAGGGCCGTGACGCCCTCGCCCGCCCTGGGCTGTGGTCGGTCGCCGGCGGCCGGCCCAGCCCAGGGAAGAACAACACAAAAATAAGAAAAGAAAAAAAAGAAAAAGAAGAAAAAAAAACCGATTCTCAAAATTGTGCCGAGAAACAAGAAGCAACTTTTTTTTACTTCTTGTTTCTCTTCCAAAACTGTTTCTCGGCACAAATTTTTGCAAAAATGTGCCCGGGAACAAAAAGTTTACCAAACGCATTTCTGTTCCCAAACTATTTCTGGGAACAAAAGAACAGAAATTTTCACTGTTTGGCACGTTGCCAAATGGGCCCTAAGGTAAAAATCCTTATTTCGTCGGTCAAATATTTGGACAGTGTGCTGGGTCCAGAAATTTGCTAATCTATACAATTAGCTAAATACTATACGTATGATTTGTGAAAAATAATGTGTTATTAATTAAATAGGAATTCCTTCTCTTGTTTTTTTTGCAATGCGCATGCTCATTCAATACACCAATTAGTTAGTAGGTGAAGATTGGGGAACTGAAAACATGAAACCGATTTCCAAGGATCACATGAATCACGTATTGTGGGACCCTATAGAAGTATATATTATGCAAATCAAGGGCCTTCATCTTCTATACAAGTGAAGTATATCCGTGATGATTTTTTTTTGGCACATAACGCTTTCTACTTCCATCTTTCAGTATATCAACATATCTAATTAGATCTATCTCCGCTCCGAAAACTCAAAAGAATGGGTTATTAGACCAAATTAATTGCTCCATCTTACACCACATTTTTGAGAAAGAACTTCTTTCACCTGATACCATCATACGTGCACTTGAGCATATCCCCTCCATACGCGAATAACATCTGCCCTCTTGACTCCAAGTCAATTGCCTTTGCCCAACCGAACATGGCGAGAAGTAAGGGGACACCATCTGCCATTTCAATCAAAGAGTAACATTGGAAAGTCTCTTTCTAATATATTCACTAGACGTCAATCTTATAAACCATCAGACTACAATATCACTTGTTGAGATGCACAACAGAAGTCCAATATCTTTACCTATGGAGATTATAAAGAGAGAGCCTAAGTCTTGAGCCCATCAATTTATAGTTAGACCACCTCCACTCAAAAGTTTAAACCAATGCATTATGCTACCGAATTTATTGCTCTATCTTGCATCGCATCTTCGATATGCAATCTTTTTCGCTTAACAACCTCACACGTCCACCCCAACAACAATATAGAGCAATGATCGGTGCATCTTATAATACCTCGAGTCCACCTATAGGCCTGCTAATTTATCCATTATTATGAGAATGTAAGAAATGTATGGATGGCCATTTAATTGCTGATGGCCGAGAAAGTAGAAGTCTTATATTGCTTCTATTATTTGACAGGCTATAATTGTTCAGGCATATCTTTTTATTGGGAGAATTACCGAAACAGTCCGAAACCTATTGTAATCGTGTCAATTCAATCCTAAACCTTTTTTTTGGCCAATTGAGTTCTAAACCTTTTGTATTTGTGCCAATTCAATCGCCGATGTGAACATTTTTAAATAATATTTTAATAATTTTTCAAATTATTTATTTACTTTTCTTTCTCTTTCTTTCCTTCTTCCTTTAGCCGGTTGTTAGTCGGCTAGCAAAGTTGAGCCTAGCCCAGCCACGGGCGAGGCTCGCCCTCGCCGGCCACTGGCGAGGTTGAGCCTTGCCAACCCTTGCCTCTGGCCAGTTACCAAGGTCCGGCGTCCAGCTAGAGGAAGAAGGGAAGAAAAAAAAAGGAAAGAAAAATTAAAAATTTTAAAAAAAATTAAAATATTATTAAAAATTTTCCACGTCAGCATCGGCCGTATCGGGTAGGACAGTCAACATCCATGTCAGCGATTTTCGGCCAAAATTAGCCGGATGGGCTTAATTGGCACAAATACAAAAAATTTAAGATTCAATTGGCCAAAAAAAAAGTTTATGACTGAATTGACATAATTGCAATAGATTTATGACTTTTTTGGTAGATTTCCCCTTTTATTCGTCTAAAATACATCTTATTGTCGGCAATGCAATTTGAAAGGTAGATATACTTTAATAAAAATACCACGTGAATCATGATGTGGGACCTAAAGTAGAGAAAAAAAATGAACGCCAACTCTTATATAAGAAACAAGCCATACCCTTTATTTTCTCAACACAATTCAGTGCTGTGACAAATTTAGAGAATTTTGGTGTCTCAATACAATCATCACTCAGATATAAAGGGGGAAAATGGCGAAGTTGCATGGAAAAGTAGAAGCTGAAGTCGAACTGAAATCACCAGCCGACAAATTCTTCAAGTTTTGGAGGAGCGAAACCCACAAATTGCCTACCGTCACCTCCAAAAACATTCAAGGAATCAATGTTCATGAAGGTGACTGGGATCAGCATGGAGCTATCAAGATTTGGAAGTACACCGTTGGTAATTGATTTAATTTGGTCTCTCTAACTATCAATTTATTCGATGTTGTTATTGAATTAAACTGAGGTTCTCATACATATTGCCTAACTTAAACCTTTTTTGTTTCGCTGGTGCCATTGTATAGATGGAAAATCTGAGGAGTTCAAAGAGAAGGTCGAGTTCGACGACAATGACATGTCGGTCACCCTCCACGGCATCGAGGGCCATGTCTACAACGTGTACAAGGTCTACAAGCCAATGTGCAAGGTTGTCCCAAAGGAGGAAGGCAGCGTGGCTAAGCTGAGCATCGAGTACGAGAAGTACAAGGCGAGCGACCCAAACCCCGACAACTACATGGCCGTGTTCATCGAGATGACCAAGGACATCGATGCTCATGTTACAAGCGCATGAAGGAAAAGATCATGGCCTGACTATGATCATATATGAAGTTGTGCTATGTAATGCTTGAGATTTCTGTTACTTTCATGTATCGTGATGGTCCAATAAATCAAGCTGGTTGATCAGGTGATGAGAAGCTGAGCTGGGTATTTGGGAATATGAGATTGTGTCTTGTGTCCATTGTGCAATTGTGCTTGTAATAAGACACTTGTGGTTTTTGCAAATTGATATGGTTATGAAGAAGCTAGTACATGTTCAAGATTCCCAACCAAATTAAGAGCTTAACAAGTGGAGTGACTTCGAGCTCGTTTACTTAAAACACTTAAATTGGACAAGAGGGTATATATAGTAATCATATCATGACAACGCCGACGGTCAATCGCAATAATGGTGTCGACATACAAATTAAATAAGCTAGGAATAAAGATTATATTTTGGCAGTGTAGTTGATCCAATGCATGCGATTTGTAGACATATTTTAGGTGACTTTCCAGGAACTTTAGATGGTCCCTCCTGTGATTTTTCACATATTGAGCTTTAGCCTAACTGGCCAAAAAGGAAGTATCCAAGAATTAAGAATCTATGTACAATGAATCATAATTTTCTTCAGTAATTGGTCTAAGATTAATTGGAGCCATTGCCCAGACCTTAGTGTCGTGAATGGCGTTGCAATTTCGCCGTCGACGATGAGGGTGTAGTTTATAAGCGATTGCCGGAGTTGTTCAAAATGTTCTCAAGCATTGAAAATTTTGAATATCTTTGTACATGTATTTTATATAATTTACCACGGTTGAAACCGGGCAGATCTTTTTCAACTGAAAAGAGTACAGTTTGAAATGATAATACCTGCTCAGCTTGTGACTCAATCCTAATCTCAACTACTACGGACTTGTTTTAATTATTTTTCGCACCTAAGCACATTTCTCATGATAATTTTTTAAGTGGTGGAAGTCGCAGTTAGTCATCCTAATTGTCGCATCGAAAATTATTGATAGAACATACTGTTCATTAATTATTTTGAGTGGGCTACACGGGGCAAAGTGCTCAAGTACACTCTTTAATAATTTCCTCATGTCTGAAGCAAAACCGAAAATATTATTTTGCCGACAAGATACATCGATTGCAATTAAATATTATTCTTTGTCCTTTCGTCGATGCTTTGCCTAATCATAGTGTTAATTCAGCGTGAACTAATCAATTCTAGTGAGATTATCAGAAGGGAAGTCGGACGTGTTGAAGGAGAATGTGGAGTTAGACGATGCGAACATGAAGGTGAGCCTTCACGGCCTGGAAGGCGATGTCTTCATACTGTAGAAGGTGTATCGGGCGACCTGCAAGCTCACTCCGAAGAAAGAACGGCTGTCTTGCAACAGTGATGATTGAGGACAAGAAGCCGACTCCGGCGTTCCGGTGCCGATAAGTACATGGATGTGTTTACCACTGTCACCAAAGACATGGATGCTCATATGGATTCTGCAGCATGATGAGGAAAGGGAAAAAATAAGATCAAAGGATGAAGCTAGGGTCTATATATCTTTGTTTGGGCTTAACATATGGTGATCTATGGATGCATTTTATAGGTATAGACAAAATATATATAAGGTCTTGATAGTTAATCTAAGTTCAAGCAAATTTTTATGTTTAGAACATGATCATTAATTAGAGTTACTACGATACTCTGACTTGTTTATGTTAGAAATTCTAAAAGGACTGAATATCCCGATTTTGCATGGACGAACAAAACTCATGCGTAATCAGAACCTAATGCGGAAACTTGAAAAATTCTTTATTAACGTCTAGACATTGATAAAGTTCGATTGATAATCTGAATCATCGAGCATTGAACGGTCGGTGAAGGATATCTCTAGCCAATTGCCCTTTCAACATTGATGGTGTGTTTTTTTTATTATGAGAGGGTTTGGTTTAGAAGACCCTTTTGTATCCATTCGCATCCCTTCATACGACTTCTTCCATTAAGAAGTCGTTTATTTTGGGCGGTCACAATATAATGGACAGTTATCACGAAACTTAACGTGGACAATAAACGTGAATGAAATTAACTAAATGTGGGAATAATAAACTGAATGTGGGATCACATTATTGATATTATAACAGTTTAGTCATCGAATGAGTACTTAACGAAAAAAGGATGGTGGGATGCTCTCACCAATTTGCGACAGACAAAACACATCATCTTATTCATCGTTTGTCCATGACCAAAGCAACTCATTAGCAGCAGAGATCATCTTATTCTATAGCTTCCCTCGACATATACCACTTCAGTTATTTGATCCACGACCAAAGCACCTCGGTTCTTGTTGCTATTTTTCACGGGGAAGGATCATATAGAATCCGATTCATTAATGACCACACGGCCGCGAATTTGATTCCATGTATTGTTGCAGTTGGGCAATTCGATCCTCAGATTATTCCTCTCATCCTTACCAAAAGCTTCCTTTTTTGTGAACCTGGGTATATCCTCGAAATAAATAGAAGATAATGCTTGGAAAGAGGGCTATGATGGTGATCGTAACGACGCACATTTTGTTGCTACTACAAATTGCCACAACTCACTTTGAGCGACAATGCATTTCATAATTCGCGATATTTTACACTCATGTATACCGATCTAAGGTGGGATTCCTTGTGATCATAAGGGAAAACAAATGAATGTATCACTTATATAAATGAAATTTGTTTCGTGTGTTTACCATGGGGAGAATTACTAAAAAAGTTCTAAACCTATTGCAATTGTGCCATTTCAGTCCTAAAACTTTTTTTTTGTCAATTCAGTTTTAGACTTTTTTCATTTATACCAATTCAGTCAATCCAACCAATTTTGGCCAGCTGGCACTGTCGTGGATGCTCACCGGCCTCAGCTGGCCAAAATTGGTCGGAATGATTGAATTGACACAAATACAAAAAATTTATGATTGAGTTGGAAAAAAAATATTTAGGACTGAATTTGCTCAATTGTAATGGATTTGGGACTTTTTTGATAATTTCCCCGCTTACCATGTCACAACACTTTCTATTGGAATAATTGTGCATCATTTACGGCATATCAAGACTCAAGAAACAATCTCCCGGGGGACCATGGAAGAGCCCTTTTTTCTTTTCGAATAACATGTCGTGATCTTAGAAAAGTGAAATCGACTAAAGTGGCGAAGGTCCATACACATCCAAAGCCCTAAGCATTTCTATAAATTGCCTTCGGTGTTATACCGCTCATTCGTCCTGTCTAGCTACATCATACACTTCTCAACACAGCTTCTTAACCTTTCTTTTTCCAAGAGCAGAAGCAGAGAACATGGCTCAATCGGTGACTGTCGAGGCTCAGATGGAGTTGAAATCTCCAGCTGAGAAGGTCTATGAGATCTTCCGGAGAAAATCCTACCTCTTGCCAGAAATCGCCCCTCATATGGTTAAGGATATAAAGTTGCTCACCGGTGATTGGGAGTCTGTGGGCTCAGTAAGGCTCTGGACTTATGTTGCTGGTAGGGTCCTGTATTTTTGTCACTTGTACATGCCAATTTGAATCCCACGTCCCATGTTTTATCTATCCCCCTATTTTTCTGTCTTGTGATTGATCGTTCCATCGCTACTCCGATTTCTTCTCTTTTCAATCAAATTCGTCGTTAATTCATCGTCATGAGTTGAGAAGTTAAAGCTAACATGTAAGGTCAATGTCAAGCTCGAATCCTTTAGCTCGTGGAAGATCTCGACACTTCATTGTTGTTCCATGAGCTTTGGTCTGGGGACCTCAGAACAAAGCTTCGATTAATGATCACTCACGTTGGATGCATTGTTTCGATGTATAGTCTCTACTGATTTCCGATCTGAAAGTCTAAGCCGGTGGCGAGAGGATGCGCCTGTATTAAGCTTGTGGTAAATTTTTCATGCCTGAGCATAAAGTGAAGTCTGACTGAACTGGAGTCATACGTGAATTTAAGGATTATTAAGTAGTCATACGCTCAACTGAACTGCAGTACATACCACAGGTGATTGCGAAAGCGGGAAGGAGACTGTGGAAGCTTTCGACGACGAGACAAAGTCCATCACATTCAATTATTTGGACGGAGTGGCTCTGAATCTTTACAAGAGCCTGAAGATGGTCTTCCAGTTCTCTCCGGAGGGTGAACATTGCGCGGCAAAGGCAGTTCTGACTTACGAGAAGCAAAATGCGGATGTTCCCGATCCCGATAAGTACATGGAGTTCACGCGTGGTATGCTCATGAGTGTTGACGCCTACCTTCTCAAGGCGTGAAAGATGAGCTTAAAATGGCGAATCGATATATTTCGGATGGTGATGTACTGCGTGTGCTAAAGTATTAGGTGGTGTGAAAATAATGATCCTTTAGAAGCATCAAAGGAAAAGGATGTTTAGCTGCTTGTTAAGCGTGTCATGATTTGAGAGCTTTCCTCAATGCATGGTATTGTACTCCAAAGTACATATAATATAAGTAGTACTTTGATGTGTGTATAAACTCATCCAGTTGTGTTTGCAGAACAATCTGCATGTGGTATAGTCATTTCATATATATATTTTTTTTGTGGCCGGAAATTTGCTTTCTAGTATGAGGAAAGAAAGACCACAGACAAACCAAAAAGTTCAAAACTTGATGAGTGATGCAAGTTTGCCATATTCTTATATAGGTCTATTCACATTGGGTTAGCTTATGGTAGTTAAGGAACATAATTTTTTTGTGAAAATTAGGCGCACAACACAAATTCAAGCCTTGAAAATCATCCAGAGCAAAACAGGAGTCAATGTAATTTGGAACTAAGTACAATACATAGGACTCGATAAACATATAGAATACTAAAAAACTCGTTCTCGGATTTCCTGAGCAGCAATTAGTGTCGTGGCATAATATTCTCCTTAAGACTCCAAATTGCCTGAAACTCAACCTATTATAAATTAGACATATAGGGTTTTCAAACCATATAATATTTGATCACATTGAAGTACAAAAGGTCTTTCAAACGTCAAATAAAAAGTGACCACGACAATTCAGCCAACAAATGTGACATTCCGAATTTCGGCCTATTTTTGGGATTTATAAAACGTGTAATTTGTCAGTGTGCTTATAGTAAAATCTCGCCCGAGAACTGATCACTCTCGATTATTATTATTTTTGTTTTAAATTAGAGATTTCGCTAGAATTGCACTCGATCGAATTTGGCAGTTATTTAGAGCCCAAACTTTGGTGTCAAATTTCTCGGAGTTCCGGGACGAATTTAATTGGACGGTGTCGATATTATTGTGGCCAACGTCGCTATTGTCAGGAATATGTGAAAAGTGGATTTTTGACCGGATGTAGATTTGGACTAGTGAACCTTTCTTGTAGTGTGTTTTGGATTATTTTCTTTTGACTTTTTTCCTAATTTATTAACTGGAATTTTGGGGACCGTTAGATCAATCAACGAGATCATTTTACAGCCGTTGGATCGCACTGATTGTTTGACTTTTTCTCTCTCTCTCCTCCTCTTTTCCCGCTCACGTTTCCCCCCCTGTCCCGTCTGTCCTGTCTCTTTCTCTGTCTCCTTTCTCTCTTCTGCCGATCGTTCTTCTTCCCCCTCCACCGCACGCTCGCCTGCCGCTCACCGCCCAGCCGCCGTGCGCCGTTCGCCCACCGCCACGCGTTCCTCCGCCCCGTCGCCGGCAGTCCGCCTGGCATCGCCGCCCCGCCGGCCGCCGCACCGCCGCCCGTCCGGCCGTTCCCCCTCCTCCGGCTTGGCTGTTCTTCTCCTCCCTGTCGCGCGCAGCAGCAAGTCGCCGCCGCGCCCGCCGCGGTCCGGCGCTGCCCAGCCGCTCGTCGGCCCGTCCTCCGTCGCCCGGCCGCCCGCGACGCCGCCGTGCCGCCTCCGGCCACCGCGAGACCTCCCCTTCCCCTGTTTCTCTCTTCCCCGGTGCCTTCCCCTGTTTCGGCCCCTGGCTTCGCCGCCGCCGCGTGCCGCCGTTCCGGCCGCCGCCGCTCCGCCTCCGCCACCCAGTCTCTCCCCTCAGCCACCTCCGCCGCCCAGCTGCCCCCCTTGGCCGCCACCACCTCCCCTTTCCCCCTGTTTCTCTCCTCCCCGACGTCTCCCCTGTTTCGGCTCCGCCTCGTCCAGCCGCCGTGCGCCGCCGTTCCGGCCGCCGTCGCTGCTCCGTCCGCCACCACCCGACTTCCCCAGCAGCTCCGCCGCCACCAGCAGCCGCCGTGCTCGCCTGGACAGCCCGGGCCACCCCAGCTCAGCCTTGGCCGGACTGTCCCGGCCGTGGCCGAGCCTCCGCCGCCCAGCCGCCGTCGCCTGGCCGCCCTCCGGCCGTGAGCCCAACAGCCGCCCCTGCTTCAGCCCCCTGTCCGCTTTCTCTCCCGTGTGGCAGCCGTCCATTCGTCGCCGCCGTGAGCCGCCGCGCGTTCGCCGGAGTTGCGGCTGAGCCGAGGCTGCTGCCGTTGCTGTTCCGGTCCCCCTCGCCACCCTTGCTCGGCTTGTTCTCGCTTAGGCCCGAGGTAAGCGACTCCCTAAACTCCGTTTAGGATTTCGGGTATTGTTAGACTCGATTAGGGTTTATTTATTGCGGATTAAGGGCGGATTTGGTGGCTGATTAAGGGACTGATCATGGCTGGAATATGGTTCGTTTGTGGCTGATTTGGCGAGTGATTATGGCGGGCTTGATCGTTAGTTTGATGGGATGAGGTTGGAGGGTTTATTGAGCGGAACGTGGGTTAAAATGTGTTGGAATGGCGAGCGTTGTTACTATCGAATGTTGTTTGATTTGCGGGCTGATTTGATGTTCATTGCGCGTGTGTTAATCGCGGTATGAGGGCTGGTTGTTACTGCCGTTTGTTGTTGTCACGAGTGCACGTTCGCGACTTTAAATTGATAGAATGGTGGTTATTTTAGTGCCCACGAGGATTGATTTGTTTGATGGGTGATTGAGCTCAATGGAATGGGTTTGATGCTTGAATACGTGTTGGCCGTGCTGAGTTGGGGACTGAGTTCGATGGCCTATTGAGACTCATGTGCGCTTGATTTATTATGGCTCATTTTGTGGAAGTTGAGGTGGATTTGATGCTTGCACGGACTAATTTGAATGATTGGCGTTTGAGTATATTAGAGTGTGATTTGAACATGTGAATGCCATGGAAATTGATTGAATTATGCTTGTGTATACTTGACAAGCCCGGATCGATCGGAGGGTTGCCAGCTTGAGGGGTGTTGACCCGGATTGTGAGAAAGGACCTGTAGGGTGTTGACCCGGGTCGTGTGAAAGTTTGTTTTTGAAGGGTCCTGTGGGGTGTTGACCCGGGACAGAGCCCGGATTGATCGGAGGGTTGACCTGTGGGGTGTTGACCCGGGTCGTGTGAAAATTTGTTTTTGAAAGGTCCTGTAGGGTGTTGACCCGGGACAGAGCCCGGATTGATCGGAGGGCTGACCTGTGGGGTGTTGACCCGGGTCGTGTGAAAGTTTGTTTTTGAAAGGTCCTGTGGGGTGTTGACTCGGGACAGAGCCCGGATTGATCGGAGGGCTGACCTGTGGGGTGTTGACCCGGGTCGTGAAAAAGTTGGATGGATGCGCATGTGTTTTGTGCATGGATGAATTGGGTGAGTGTACATATGTATGGCGTTCGAGTGATGGTGATGTACTTTTGGGATATTATTGCATTATCATGATTTGACTAATGTGCAGTGTGGGCATGTGATTGGATGGCGAGGTAAGTCCATTTATGTGAATTATATATATGTAATCGGTTAGATTGCATGCTGAACTTGTCTGGATACGCATTGGCCTATATGGGGTTTAGGGGTCTGCTTATTGAGATTTATCTCATTCCCGTTGTTAAACATTTTCAGGTTTGGAATGACGGTTAGTCGTCGCGTGCGGTCCAGAGACCGGGAGTACTTTGGGCATTTGATGCTCCGTTCATCTTTTGGATGCCCCATTTGTGTATAGTGAAGTAGGTTACCTAACCACCGCCCCCTTTTGATAAATGTGGTTTTGAAGCTAGTGACCTAGATTTAATGTTGTAAGTGACTGTCAGTTTTATGATATGCGTCTGTTGATTTGTGCCTATGTTATCCCGTTGTTATTGTCTATTGTCTGGGTTGTTTCTATTTCGCTTCCGCTTGCCTTTATCGTTGGGTGTTTCGTTTGGGTCGGCGACGCGTCCTGGGACGTCGCGTTCAATGATCGACCATCGAGGGGTGTCGCGAGCCCATTGGGGTTCGGGGCGTGACAACAAAGATACGATTAATCAAGCGCCGAATAATTATGCATCGATGGTTAGATAAGCCTTAATCTTCCTAAGATGATCCTTCATCTTCAAACTTCATTTCCTATAATCCTAAGCCTATGGATGGACAGGCTAACTCCATCTATCAATAAACTTGGGCGGATTTAGAGGGGAGTTGGAGGGGCCCTGGCCCTCCCAACTTTCTGAAATTATGCTTTGGCCCCAATTTCTCAAAATCATTTACAAATTATAAGGAAGTATTATTAGGAATTTTTTTACCAAAAAAGTCCTTCCAAAATTAAGAGCTATATTTTACAAAAACGATGCTTCTGATTTTGAAATATGTAGAAGGATGAGTAGTTTTTCCAAACTTGAGAAATAATGCTTCAGCACAGATGGAATGATTGAATTTTATTATTAGGTCTACCTCAATTTGCGTAACAGTAACTCTCAATTAAAAACTTACACACTATTTTAAATGGAAAAATTACCAAAAAAGTCTTAAACCTATTGCATTTTTATCAATTCAGTTCTAAAACTTTTAATTGTGTCATTTGAATCCTAAATGTTTTCACGTTTTATCAATTGAGTTCGTTCGGCCAATTTTGTTTGAAAACCACTAACGTGGACGTGGGCCGTCCTACTTAGCACAACCGGCGTTGACATAAACAATTCTTAATAATATTTTGATATTCGAATTTTTTTATTTATTCTTTTCTTTTTCCTATTTTTTCTTCTCTTTTCCTTTATTCTTTTTTTTTTATTGTTGTTTGCGAGGGTCGCAGGACCCTCACCTAGATCTGGACAAGGCCATCTCGGCCTTGGGCATAGCCAGCCTCGCCTAGATTTGGGCAAGGCTGCCTCGCTCAGACCATCACGATCGCAGGCGAGGCCATCTTGCCCAAATCTCAATAAGGCCAAGCAAGACCCTTGTCGACCACAGTAAAAAAAAAAAGTAAAGAAGAAAAAAAGAAGAAAAGAAAAAAATGAAAAATTAATAAGAAAATTCGAAAAAAAATTAGATTATTATTAAAAATTATTTACGTTAGCGTCGTTTGTGTCATATAGAACGGCTAGTATTCACGTCAGCGATTTCCGATCATAATTGGCCATATGGACTCAGTTGGCAAAACGTAAGAAGATTGATGACTCAATTGACATGATTAAAAGGTTTATGACTAAAAGTGCAACGGGTTAAGAAATTTTTTAGTAATTTTCCCTGGTCACAATACATCAAGACAAGTTGAAGATTTTACGGGACTTGTATGGCTAAAACAATTAATTCTTGCATATATAAATTTGGGGATTCAATCAGTTATCAGTTCTCTTTAATTCCTCCAGAATTTGACACATTAAACAAAAAAACGAGGTATGACTAATTAATGACGAGCTACGAATTGCTGTGCAGCGCTCCCACCAATGTTTTTTTTTTGGGTCAGCTCCCACCAATGTTGGGTGGCTGAGGAACAAAACCTTGAAATGACATGTCCAACAAAGATTGAGTTTTCGACCCAAAAACAAAAACAAAGATTGAGTTGAGGCTTTCCACAGATGCGGATCATGGCATTGTTTGTCACTCTCATGTGATTGTGCCCTCTTCAACATCCGTTTGGGTAAGTTCTACTGGGATCACAGTAACTACTGTTACTTTAAGGTTTACTTTTTTAAAGGTCATTAAATGTTATCGGAGAAGTTAGAGATTTAAAAGATAATACAAATGCGATAAGCTGATAAATGCTAACCACTTAAGGAAACCACATCAGAGTACTAGGCATATCTCATGGTAAACGTTCGCCACCTAAGAAATCCATTTGAAAAAATGGAATCTACCAAAGAGACGGAGGAGTGATGAAACTCTAATCTAAGAGTTCAATGCGAGAAATTCATTAAATCGATCATTATATTCTCGAGGAAACTTTAGAGCGTTTTATACAGACACCACTCGGAACAACTCTCCAAGTTAGGCAAATCCCAAGACACTGACCTTTTATTTTTCAATATAAAGACCCACAACCCTTAGACAAAACATAAATCGGACATTAACTCTGGACTCAAGTGATCTAGAAACTTAATACAATGCATAGGACTTAACCAGCATATAGGATACGAGAAAACTCATTTCGAATTTTCTGATTAGCATTTAGTATTGTGTAGTAATTTTCTCTGAAAGACTCCAAATTTCTTGAGACTTGATTCATTTGAAGCTAGACACATAGGATCTTCCAATCATTTAGTATGTGACCATATTTTGACGCCGGCAATCCAACCAGCAGAGATACACTTAATCAAGCTCCAAGTAATTGGGAAATATGAGGAAGGATGAGTAATTATTTCCAAATTTGAGAAATAATGCTTAGGCACAGATGGAATGATTGAACTTTACTGCAAGGTCTACCTCCATTTTGGTAACATTAACCATCAATTGAAAACTCACACACTATTCAAATAATATGAGGGATTGTCTAGGAAAGAATTCTAATTTTGTGATAATCCTATAAAGTCAAGAACTAGTGATGGAGGGAAAACAGTCAAGAGCTGTTATCCTAAGATTATTAAGTTAGTCACAAATCTATTAAAAAAGTTAAATATCCTTTGTTATTTATTTTGTGAAATTCATCATCATTCTAAAGTGAGAAAAAAAAGAAGATTTTCTACCATGATACATGATTGAAAATAATGAGTTTCAGTTTTGTTAACAACAGTCTCCATTATACAATTGCTAACAAATATTATTTATCCGTGGACAATTTTTGGCCCCTCCATCATGTTTGCTCCAGATCCATCCCTGCAACGAAGTTCTTCCTTATTCCTCTTTGCAATACAGATTTCAGGCTTTCGTTCTATTCCGTCATGTTTGGACAATATACGTGATTTAAACCTGAACATTAAATGTTTGAAATTTAAATGTTCGGGTTTAAATCATGTATATTTAAACCCGAACATTGCCAATAGGCATGAGGCCCTACTGGTAAAGTGATTAGGGGGTGAAGTCGGAAAGTATCAGGTCTGGGGTTCGATTCCCGTGAGCAGTGCACACACATGTACATAGAAGAGAAGAGTGAGACAAAAAAAAAAAAAAAGAACATTGAGCTTTGTCATATACATTTTCCCAAAATTTAAAAACTAATAGTATCGAAACCACACGTACTTATCGTGAATGACGCACACGCGAAGCATAAATCATTAACTCTTTAGTGATCGAGTAGTGCTAAAACGTAAGGACACTGATTCAAACTTGTCTACTCAATTAATGTATTGAATGTCATGTAATTCTATTAGTAAGTAATTGACTCATTTAAGCACCCAAGAGGATTATGTTGTTCTATTAAACAGATTCAATGGTGAATATTGATATACTTGGGGAAAATTATCCAAAAAGTTCCAAACTTATTATACGGAGGTTAATTCAGTCATAAACCTTCAACATGCGAACTTAGCCCTAAACCTTTTGACGATTTGCCAATGTAGTCTTAATACATTTCAATTTTGCCAATTTAGTCATAAACCTTTTGATGATTTGCCAATTTAGTCATAAACTTTTTGACGATTTATCAATTTAGTCATAAACTTTTTGACGATTTACCAATGTTGTTCTTCAAACTAATATCCAAATAATAGATTTAGGACTAATTGACAAATTTTCAAAATGTTTATGACTAAATTGACACAAAAAAATATTTAGAATTAAATTAGCACAATTGAAAGGTTAAAGACTAAATTAGTTATTGAACAATAAATTTATAACTTTTTAGACAATTATCCTGATATATTTAATGTTAATAGTTGAAGTGATCTCATGTCCGGGCTACTGTCGTTCCATCCGTCGTCCTATTTTATTTCGTTTCATTATTTTATCTTTGATATAACAAATTAAATAAGTACGTCTCTCTTATGGTCCTACCCAGATGAGTCTATTGATATGTGGATTAGGTTTCATTTATTTTCCATCATCCCTGTGCGCCAGCTATCTTTGACTTGCCTTGAGATTATCAAGCGAGTCCAAATCATTGGTGGGATTTGGTCTATGAAGAGAGAGAATGCATGTTGATTTGATCAATGCATGAGAAGACGTAATTCAAATATATACTTCAAAGGTGATTGATCTAGCGATATGACGATACATTTCATATGAAGAAACTTCTTGGTTACAGTGATGATTGCTAGGATGCGGATCAAACCGAATAATATGGAGCGAGTGTCGGATTTTCAGTGCTAGTTGTCCATTCTCATCCTTTTGCTTATTAAAAAGAAATGCGTGAGGAGACATGACAGCTCAGGACCGTTCCAATGGACATCTTCTTTAAATTTCACGGCCACCAAATCAGAAGTCAGAGAAATTTGCCAGCAATTTCTCTTTAGATAGTTTATATGACCAGTCATGTTGAAAATGCTTAGTCTATTGGATAAATATACTAAACTCGGGAAAAAACCGGTGTTACCAAACTTCACTGGCGAATTAAGAGCAAATCCTGACTTTCACTTTAGAAATCATGTTTTTTTTTTTAGAAAAGTGCAATATCAATAGTAAATATTAGTTTCCTTACAATAAAATCTTACTCTTATATATATCGTTTTTTTTTTCAATTCTCATGCAAGTGGGCATGTGAAGACAGATACAGAAACTTCCTATAAAAGCATCAAATCACAGACCCAATTTTTATGCTTGCTAGCAGTTTACCAAATCATACTATTATATTTCACATGTTGGTGCTGGCCCAATTATTTCGGCTTAACACGAATCATGAGATTCTAAAAATAATTGTAGATGTCAATGGAGTACAATTGCAATTGCTCCTTGAATTATGTGATTGAAAACTAAATCAAAGTAGCAATCATCCAAAGTTCTGAATTGCTACCGTGCCATGAGATGCATGCATAATATGCATCTATAGTTTAATAGATAATAGTCTCTCTCGCTATCTCTACCTGTGAGAATCCGCTCTGTAAATTAGTTTTTAAATCTCTCCGAGTTTAAAGGAACGAAAACCGCAAAGACATCGATGTGTACTTGTGTATATAAAGCATAGTGGGAGAGGACTCTCTCACATCTTATTCATAACACTCACTCTCTTCATCACACAGTTGCAGCTCACATAGTATCATCATATCAGTTTGATCACTGAGCATCTAACACGAAAGAAATTAAAAAAAGAAGAATGACAGCTCACGGGAAGATGGAGATAGACTTGGAGATCAGGGCTCCGGCCGACAAGTTCCACAACGTCTTCAGCTGCCGGCCCCACCACATCTCGAACATGTCCACCGATAAGATCCAGGGCGTTGATCTGCACAAAGGCGACTGGGGCAAGGCTGGATCCGTGATCTGCTGGAGCTACACCCACGGTAAATATTCAAATGATACTAATGAAATGGGCCTTCATCTGATAACTTAACCTTTCGCGTCCAATGAACTTTGCAGATGGAGAGACTAAGGTTGCAAAGGAGGTGATAGAAGCCATAGACGATGAGAAGAACTCGACGACATTCAGAGTGATCGAAGGCGATCTGATGAAGCTGTACAAGAACTTTGTCCTCGTCGTCCAGGCTACGCCCAAGGAAGGGGGCGGGAGCGTCGTCCACTGGACACTCAAGTATGAGAAGCTGAGCGAGGAGGTGACTGAGCCCTACTCGCTGCTCCAGTTCTGCGTCCATGTCAGCAAGGACATCGATCTTCACCACATGGAACAGGCTCAGGCTCAGGCTCAGGCTCAGGCCTAGCAGAAACTAAGAATCTGGACTTTTATGTATATGCACTGGTTTGCTGTCTCTGGTGAGTTCGATGGTGTGTATGTTTGAACATGTTTTACGATGTGCGTCTACAGTGAAAGGAACGCTTGATTACGTGTGGTTCTTGTTTGGAAATAATGGAATGGTCTTCAAAGAGATTGTCGAATATCTCTACTGTTTCCATGTATTTGTGGGACTTTCATTAGTTGTTCAAGGGTTGTTGTAAAATAATTTGTTCAGGCGATCCGACAAAAGTTATTACCGGTTTGAAAGACCAAAATTCAAGCGGCCTGTTTTCGTCCGTCTCTGAGCCGTAGATCCTTCTCCCAGAAATTCATATTATGTATACGAAACATACACTCTATCAGTGAAGTTGAGTCTGGTGAACTTAATGGGATAGGGCGCTGTGTAAAATTTTAGAAGAAGCGAAAATCCAAAGCACATAAAAAAAACATACTATTTTACAATAAAACACCATGTAATTTACTATCAAAATGCGAAAAAACGTGTCTTTTCAAATTTTCTGTTTCGGTAATAAGATGTGTCTGTTCATGACAGTATGAAAATTTGAACGATGTTGTTGACATAAAAAAAAAAAATGTCAACCGACGACGAGAGCGGAAGTAGCGAACTGTTAAGTCATGGAGCCAACTATTTCGAATGTAGTTGCTCGAAAGTGGGACCGATAGTTGTGGGCGCAACTGACCATGGTAACTACAAAGACGTGGAAGCGAAGCTACCGCCATAATGGTGCTAGGAATCTCAGATGCAACTATCGAAAATATACCATCAGAGAAAGTGGAGGAGACGATCATCGAGTAGTCGAGTCGATGATCTCGGGGATTGTAAATGAGTAGAGCTAGATCGTGAAAACCATGTGTAGCTCATGTAATTTTCTTAGTAACTGCCGTAAACCGTTAGTAGTCGGCATAAAATACTCGAATTGTAATCTATACAAATTATCACCAATCAATTCAAGAGCACCAAAAAAAAAAAAAAAAATTCAGGAACACCAATTTTTCAACTTTCTCTTCCTATTCATCTTTACATTTCCAGTACCTTTACATGGCTGGATATGATTGTCTCCGGTCTCCGTAGCTTTAACTTTCTTGTCATTAATATTTCCTATCCAACAATCAGCAAATGACCATTCACAACCTTTGTCGATTTACTCATCATTTCATATCTCAAAATGAATTTTGTGGACACCTTTTCGACGAAATTGATCTTGACTAATATTTATATTTATTACTAGATAAAATAAGATCAGAGAAAGAAAAAGAGCAACAATCTATATGGAAGGAAAAAAACTTTGTCTAAACTACTACTAAAAATGAGAAGAGAAGTATATATTGAAATTATTGTTTGGAAGGGAGGGATCTATTTATGCTAACATTAGAAGGGTTAATATCACCAAAAATCTCAATCAAGTACACTCGTCTCACATTTCTCACAAACAAATCTTCGTATCACAAAAAATCTCTAACTGGTATATTGTGTTACATTTAACCAAAACTAATTTCCGTGTCACAAACAAATCCAAACTGGTACATCCATAGCAAATCTATTAAAATTCGCTTAAAAAGATGTTAGGAAATATTAATACAGGCCAAAAAAAAATTGAAAGCTAATTTAATCAATGAAGATAAAAGGGCGTGCTTTAGCCAAAAAGAGGGCGTTTAAATAACGCTACCCATACAAACTACAAATTTATACAGTGCTTTAGAAGGTCGTTAATAAAATTTAAGCGCCTTTCGAATAATTTTATGTTAATGGTTTATATAAACTCCCGACCAACTAGAAGACTACAAACTAAGATATAATTTACGAGCCATGAAACTCTCTACTTTCAGTTTAAAATCTCTAAACAAAAATATTGGTTACTCTGATTTTTTTTCCAGGAAAAATAAACATGCACAGGTGATTGCAAAAGCAGGTAGGAGACTCTGGAAGCCATCGACGACGAGACGAAGTCAATCACATTCAATTATCTGAACGGAGTGGCGATGAATCTTTACAGGAGCCTAAAGGCGAACTTTCACTACAAAAAAATAAGGATTTAGCCACGGAAAATTACCGACGAAAAATTTATCGTCACTTTGCGACGAAAAAAAAATTCGTCGCTAATTTGCGACGAAAAAAAAATTCGTCGCTAATTTGAGACGAAAAATTGTCCGTGGCTAATTTACGACAGAATTAGCGATGAAAAAATAAAATCGTCGCTAATTTTGTGACAAAAAATAAATTCGTTGCTAATTTGTGACAGAATTTGCGACGAATGAAGGTGCATACGAAGTTTAATTTGGTTGAAATAAATCACAAGAAAGGTATATGAAATATGAACCATTTGTCTTGGCACAACAAGCAATTCAGGTATATTATGCATCATATCCTAGTTTGAAACGTGACAAAACTGATTGGTGGGCTATATGTAAAACCAAAGCACGAAGAAAAATCGAGGAACACTGGAAGGATACAACATATCAACAAGAGGAAGTTTGTAATACGGTTGAAACTGAAGAATATAACATTTCAACTTTACGAGATCCATGTGGAGCAATGATAGATGTGGATCCAACTGAAATTCGCGAATCAAATTTAGAAGGTGTTGCAGAATCTGATTTTGAGACAGAAGATGAAGATGATGCTCATGAAGAAGATGAAGATCGAGACGAAGACGAAGGTGAAGACGAAGATGAAGATGAAGATTATGATTTTTGAGACTTTTTATTAATTATGTGTAATTATTATTATTATTATTATTATTATTATTATTATTATTATTATTATTGCGACATGTGTTTATTGTTATTGTCACAATTATTATTGTTGTTGTTGATTATTATTATTGTTATTATTATTGTTAATGTAATAGGTCGTCGGAAAATTCGTCGCTAAATGGCGATAAGTCAAATACTATTCGTGCGATGACATTTACGATATTTTATTTTCCATTGGATTTGGATCGTCACTAATTGACAAAATTAGTGACGACATTTGCGACATTTTTATTTGTTGAATTGTTAAAAGGTCGTCGCTAATTGGCGACAAACTGAATTCGTTGGAAAATTTTTTATTTGATGAATTGTTAATATGAAAGGTCGTCGCCGTCGCTAATTCCGTTGCAAATTAGTGACGGATTCAAATCCGTGGCTAATTAGCGACGAAAATAAAATCTTGCGGCATTTTCCCGATTATTTTTATTTTCGTCGCTAAATCCGTGGCTAATTAGCGACGGATTTAGCCACGAATTTAGCCACATATTTTAGTCCGTGGCTAATTCCATGGATAATTAGCCACGTAGCCACAGATTTAGCGACGAAAATAAACTCTTGCTTCACTTTCCCAACTATTTTTATTTTTGTCGCTAAATCCGTGGCTAATTAACGATGGATTAAAATCCGTGGCTACTTAGCCACGGATTTAGCGACGAAAATAAACTCTTGCTTCATTTTCCCGACTATTTTTTATTTTCGTGGCTAAATCTGTGGCTATTTAGCCACATATTAAAATCCGTCGCTAATTAGCCACTGACTAAAATCCATGGCTAAATTGTTTATGTAAAATGTCGTCGCTAAATCCGTCGTTAATTAGCAACGAATTACTGTCGTCGCAAATTTTTTTTATTTTCTAAATTGTTTATGTAAACTATCGTTGCTAGCGACAGAAAATAATTCGTCGCTAATTTCGTTGCAAAATTCATCGCTAATTTCGTCATAAAATTACACCATAAAAAGTAAATTGAGCCACGGAAAATTAGAGACGAATGTTTTTGTCCGTAGCAATTTTCGCGTTCCCCGCCCACACTCCCAATTTGCCCGCCCTCACCACCACCCCCCTCGCCCGCCCGCCCGCCCCACCCCCCTGGCGCTCGCTAGGGTTTTCGGTACCCCTTCCCCCCCGTGACTCCTCGCCATGGCCTCCGGAGCCCTAGAGGCCGCGGAGCCCAAAGGGGCGGCGGCTCCTCCCCCCGTCGAGGGCAAGGAGGTGGTGGTCGACGGCGCAGATCGGAAGCAGAGGATCAACATCAACGACGTGCTCAACAAACACCTCCTCTAGCGGTCCTCCCCGTCCACGTCCCGCGTCGTCAACGGCAAGGACAAGTCCCCCCACGCGGTCGTCCTTGGCAAGGCCCCCTCCGATCACCGCGATTCGGCTCGCTTCAAGGCCAACTCCGATGGTCCGTCTCTCTCTCTCGCTCGTCGAATTTGATGATGTGTCGTGTGAGTTCCCTTCTCGTGCGTGTCGTTTCGGGTTCAGTCTAATTCTCGAAAGGAAATAAGAGGGATTCCGTTTGTTATCTGCGCTTTCGTGTCTGTGCTTGTTTAGAAGTGGAGGTTGATTTAGCACGGGGGAGTACCCATCAATATGTATATCTGTCTGAATAAGTTTGGATTTTGCTCGGGGATTTCGATGATTCGAGTGTTTCAGCTCTTGATGTATTGAGCATGTTTGTTTATTAGTTTAGGGAAGAGTTAAGTGTGTCCCCTGTCGAACTCTTGGTATTGGGCCGGAGCTTTTGATACTTGAGTTGCTGAAACGAAGTGTGATTTTCAGTATCAACTATCCATTACGGAATTTATTATAGTGTTAGCACGGAGAGAGCATGTAATGGATTCTTTTGTGTATATTTACTTGCTGCCTTGTTTTAAGATGATCTCTCTATCTCTCGCTTTGAAGCAATTATTCCTAAGAGTTTGTGGTGGAGCCTGTGGATTTGAAGAAGTGCAGTAAAGTGGAGGTGATAGTGGAGGGGTGAAAGAGACACACGGGTTGTTTTTGTAGTCTCCAATCTCCATATGAAAGTCCAATTTCTTAAGATAAGATGCTGATGCTCTGGTGTTTATGCTTTAATCGGCCATTGTTCCTCCTAGTTTGCTATTTACATTTGCCTTGTGTTTTGAGTCTTAACACCTGAATTTATATGAATTCACATTGTGTAGATTTTTGGCCAGTTCTTGTTATCTGAAGGCTTTATTGAAATCCACACTCCGAAACTGATAGCTGGATCCAGTGAAGGAGATTCTGTTGTGTTTAAACTGGACTATAAAGGGCACCCTGCATGCCTGGTGTAGTCACCTCAGCTTCATAAGCAAATGGCCATTTGTGGTGACTTTGGGTGTGTTTTTGAGATTGGCCCTATTTTTAGGGCAGAAGACTCCTTCACACATAGGCATTTGTGTGAATTTACTGGCCTTGATGTTGAAATGGAGATTAAGAAGCACTATTGTGAGGTTGGATTGGATACTTTTTCATTTAACTGAATTTTCAGTTTAGCCTAACCAACTAAACGTTTATGTGCAGGTAATGGACATTGTGGACAAGTTGTTCGTTACAATGTTCGACTCATTGAATGCGAGTTGCAAGAAAGAACTTGAAGCTATTGAAAGACAATACCCCTTTGAACCTTTAAAGGTTATAATATGATCTTTTTTTTTTTTTTTTGCAATCTAATTACATAAATAGTGCAACTCATGGGCAGTAATTTTTAATTGCAGTACTTGAGAAAGACCTTGCGGCTTTCTTTTCAAGAAGATGTTCAAATGCTCAAGGTGAGGAAAAAATTTTCGGTAGCTAAATAGCTGCCCATAAAAAAAAGGGAACAAATAGAGTAGCAACATATTGGTTCATTGGCACTTCTATATCATGGCTGCAAAAGTAGGACAATGAGTTCTCTTGCTGATTTTTTGTTTGTTGCTTTTAAATGAAACTAATTGTTTGTGGTAGCACTCCTCTTACCTGATGATTTGTTCTGTTGGAAGAGGAACCACAAGAAAGTGATATTTACAACTATATGCCGTGCACATGTACATTGGGGGCTGATTTGTTCTTGGCTTTTGTTGCTTTAGCTTGATTTTGTTGTTTGATCTGATTCAGGGCTGATTTTGTTGGTTGTTTTGATATTCGCAAAAATGGAGGATCTCGTGGCTTTGTTTGAGCCCATTGCGTTGTCTCCGTCGGAGTCTTCGATAATATTGCTACTCCTGGTTTTCTCATGTTTGCTTTAAGCTGGTTTGCTTTTGTTTTCTCTGTTTTTTTCTCTCTTTTGACTGTTCTCCTTTCGGCTCTACTATAGCTCATAGCATCTGAATATATTTTACTCGTATTCTTGCATTGCAAAGGAAAAGAGGCAATAGATTCTAAGAAGCAAATGTGATTTGGTATGTTAACCTATATTGGTATATTGTATTGGGATACATAGCTTAGCTGGGTTATAGCTAATGTGATTGGTTCCATCTTTTTCCTCTCCTTGCTTTTAGTCGTGGGGCTTGGGTTTTTGAGGATGGGAATGAATGGGGCAATCAAGAGTCCAAAACCCCTCTTTTGTCTTCTGGTCTTGGGGGTTGCACCAGGTATTATTTGCTTTTTTAGAAAATACCCCGTGGGAGAATTATGGCTTCATTCAAAATGATTGATTATTTGAATGCAGTGATACCTGCTTAGAATCATGCATTTGTGGAAAGTCATGTGTATTGTTCTTTGCACGTTGCAGGTGCTGAAAGCACTCCACTTCATTATGCTGCCTGTGGTGGAAGTGTGCAGTGTTGTCAGGTATTTTGTGGTAGCTAAAAGATAAATAGCATCCAATATCATTCTTTATTTTGTTCATGTCACTTACATAAATGTTTTTTTTTTGTGGTGGAAGTGTGCAGTTGTGGAAAGTGAACCAATTTGGAACACCTACGTTGCACCTTTGTTTCTTTACTTCTATTAGATTTATCACTGAAAGTGAACTTCAACCTTTTTCCTCTATATTTCATTTACCTTCGTTGCTTTACTTAATTAAGATTGCTTGCTTCACAGTCATTATTTATCCTTTAGAAGCTGAATATATTAACATTTAATGTGGAAACAATGTCACTAATTTTGTGTCTAATTCCAGACAATTTATGTTTTGTAGAAGAACAGCTTTGAGCAATTCTGCATAAGTTATGCAAATGAGAGGTTGCAACAACATTTCAACCGGCATTTGTTAAAACTGGAGCAGGAAGTGAGCATCTCACATCGACCGTGTCTTTAGTTTTGTTCATTATTTATATGATGGGGATTGTCGCTAAAAGCAGGATATTCTTTTTTGATTCATTTCTGTCATTATTTATTGTGCAATATTAGTTATTGTGCAAGATTATTTATTCTCTCATTATGTGTACTATAAAGAAAAATATTTATGTCATTCTTGTGGAAAATGTAGATGAATGTATTTCATTTTCATATTATTATAATATTTTGATGTTATTAAGTGCTTAATTAATGTTAAATATAAATTCCAAAAATTAATTTTGCTTTTAATTAGGTTTAAAATCCAAAAATAAAAATAAATGATTTTATCGTACAATCACAAATTACAAAAGTTCGTTGCAAAATAAAATTTCGTTACTAATTTCGTCCCTAAACGATATTCGTCACAGAGTTCGTCGCTAAAGAATTAATAAAAAATCATCGCTAAATTCGTTCATGAATAATGTTCATGGCAAAAGTAAAAAAATTTGGTGGCAAATTAGCGACGAATTTTGCCACAAATAAGCTTGTCGCAAATTACTAACCAAAAAAAAAAAATTCTTGGCAAATTAGTGACGAATTTTGTGACGAATAATTAGCGACGAATAAAGTTCGTGGCAAATTAGCGACGAATTTTACCACGAAGAATTAGTGACGAATTTTTTTTCGTCGCAAATTAGAGACGAAAATTGAAATTTTTCGTCGCAAAATTTTGGGACGGCGTATTAGCGACGAATTTTTTCCCGTTGCTAAATTCGTCGCAAATTCGTTTAGCGACGAATTTTGCCAAATTTTTCGTGGCAAAATTCGTCGCTAAAACCTAATTTTTTTTGTAGTGTTCCTGTTCTCTCCGGAGGGCAAAAATTGCACGGCGACAGCAGTGGATTTGGAATTACACTGCTAGTAAAATTAAGGCTGTTGACTAGTGTTTTAATTTTTTTTTGTATATCGACTCTTTCATAGTTATCTGGACTTTCATAAGAAATCAATATCGAAGTGCCGTAAAAATTTGAAAGAAAATATTTCGAGAAAGTATAAACATTCCAATGGAAAAATTGTCCAAAAAGTCCTAAACCTATTGCACTTTTGCCAATTCAATCCTAAACCTTTTAATTTTACTAATTGAGTCTTAAACTTTTTCAGATTTTGCCAATTGGATCCATCCGGCCAATTTTGGTAAGAATTCGCTAACGTGGACGCCAGTCATCCTACGTGACATGACCGAAACTGACGTTGACAATTTTTAATAATATATTTTCAATTCTTTAATTAATTTTTTCTTTTTTCTTTTTTCTTTTCTTTTTCCTTTTTTCCTCTTTTTCTCTTCACCGGCCACTGGATGAGGGTCGTCGGGCCTTGCTGGCCGCTGGCGACTTGCCCACGGCCACGATTACCTTTGGGCATGGGTTGCGGCTGGGCACGTGGCTTTTTGGCTTCGGCTTCCTCTTTGCGACATGAAGGATCCTTTGCTCGACGGGGAGAGCAATCAAAGAGGGCAAGAAAGTTCAACTAATTCCCACCAAGGAAAGTGTGATTTCGAGCAAAGGATGGTGAGATTTTAGGCGCTAATTTTTGCAAAATCGGGAAGTGAATAAGGGACACATATTCCGGAGATTCTCGGCCAAGGAACGACAGGGAAAGTAGAGAACTATTCCCAATTTGTTAATGTGAGTCTTGGTTATTTTTGTTGGGAAAATCACCAATGTGGTGATTATTGGGAAAATCCCTTATGTTGTTTTGAAGATGACAAAGACAATTAAACGCTACTAATTTGTGTACTAGTTAAGTAGTACTAGGTGATATAGCACAAGCAGAGATGCATATGTTCGTCATAAACAGCACCAAAACATTATGATATGAGGAGTGCTTTACCACTGTCAAGATGCTCTACTGATATCTAAGGTGAACAAGATATTAGGTAATTGAATATGTCTACAAGTTAGAAGGATATTCAGATATGGTGAACATCTAGAAGGACCATGATCAAGGGTGAATGAGCCAAAAAGAACGGGATGTTCGGGATGGCTTGGAGATACAAAGATTAGGTGAACAGTTGGATGCACATGATGATGGTGAATAAGCCTAGAACGAAAATGTTTGGTAAAGCTTTGAAGGACCATGAAGATGAACAGCTTGGTAGAGTCGAAATTTCCAATATGCTTGGATGGACCAGAAAGATTAGCATCGATATCGGGTGAGAGCAGCTACCTTGTATAGATGAGGTGGAAGATTGTGATGATCTTTAAGGACTACGTGATATCCATGGTGTGATCCATTAGGAGAATATCGCAAGATGTCCTTGTACGTTTTCCAACAAACAGCACTAATGAACCTAAAGATTAGCTTATTGATGATGTTTGCATCAATACTGAACCATCATGTCATTAGTGATATTTGAATAATGAACATGTGAGGATGTTCGAGATTATAGCCGTTGAAGGGTGGAAATGTGCAACGGGAAGATTAGGAAGTCTATCGAGGAACACGAGCAAGCATCTGTCAGAAATGTAAGAGCAGTCAGCGTCAAAATAGTAGCTGCAGAACTTATTTTCGGATAGCCTGCAAATGTTCAGGATAAAGGGCTATATGGGCAGCACCATCTCTGGACAACAGCACTAACGGATTTCTAACGACTAGTTGATCTTCTGAAGCACCTCCAAACGGAAGATCGAAGATGTCCATTTAAGAGAAGACCTTCTATGCCAAAATGTTAAAGAACACAATGTAGAATTTGAATATTTGCTTTGAGCTACTTTCCTTGTTGATATTGTTCTATTCTCTCGAAAGATCTTCACTGTGATAATTTTGCCGTATAGTAATCATGTAAAAGATCAAGTGTACAAGAGTACGTGCAGTAGCTGAGTCCTGATAGTGTGATCTATCATTTGTAAAGGATCAGCACTTGCAAATTGCAACTTGATGAGTTGATTACTAGTGCAATCCAGCCCGTATTACGGCTGTTAGTTTGGAGAGTGGATGTAGGCTTGGGGATAAAACCGAACCACTATATATATGCTTGCAAATCTTCTATCCATTCACTATTGGCTATGTTGCACCGACACCTGATACCGACATGCGACACAACATTACACGACACGACACGACACGACATGACACGCCGATACGTCATTTTTCAAAAAGTAGAGAATTCCAACACGTTGGGACATGTTATATATTAAATGTATATTTTTATATATACATGATAAATTATTATTTTTTTAAATTATTTTAATCAAATTAATTCAATACAAATTCACAAATAAATAAATCAATCAATCAAATTAGTTTGATAAATTATATATGACATATTTTGTTATGTCAAGTGATATAGTAAAAATTCCTTTGTTTGGCCATATATATTTTTCTCTTGGAGTACCCATTTTCGTTTTTATTTTCTTCCCGTCCTTTTTATTATTCCTCTTTCTCCATCAATTTTTTAAAGCTTTTAAGAAGCCATCTTCGTCCTTTTTATTAAGGACGGGCATAAAGCTTTTATTATTCCTCTTTCTCCATCAAATACTCTCTTGACTCTATCTCTCTCTCGTCTCTGCAACTGCAACAATCCCTCCCTCCCTCTCTCTCTCTCTCTTCCTCTCCTCCGATCAGTTCTCCGGCAGCTCTCACCGCGGAAACTCCGATTTGCTCAGCTCGCTCATCCATGACGCTCGGCTTGGGAGGATCGGGGGTCGTCGGTGAGTTCTCAAAACCTTTCCCGACCTAGATTTCGAGATCCTCCCTCCCCGGGCAAATTCTCTCCCCCGATCCCGACCGATTCCCAGATCCCCCACCTCCCCATTCCGCACTTCCAGATCAACGGGTATTCGCTGTTGAAAGGGATTGCGATTATGCGGTATGTGTCCTTGTTCATTGCTCTGGTGAGCAAGAGATCTGACGAGAGAGGGCTTTTCTTTCTTCTTTCTCCCTTTTGCTCCGGACTCGCGTGTCGCCGGCGTGTCCGGCGCGTTGACCGCGTGTCCGAGCATGACCGCCGTGTGTCGGCGCGTGTTGGTGTCCGACACCAATACGGTGGCCTCCGGAACGTGTCGGTGCAACATAGACTATTGGTATTACTTGATCTTTATTATCACGATTTATCAAACAGTAGAACGCACTTGATTTCTACAAACTGTTTCTGTCAATATTTGAAGTTGAACTTGTTATATTCCGCAAATGTTTTTCATAGTTCTTAAACAACCTATTTACCTCCTCTAGATTGTATTGTTAGCCCCAACAATTTTCAGGAGCAAGTTAGATGAATCGGTGCAACAATATTTGCCGGAACAAATGACAGCGAGAATCAAGTGGTTCAACGCGGCTGAAGAAATCAATTCAGTGGAGATTCGAGGGGAAACCGTGATTAGTGGGTTGGCGGAATAAAAGAGATTTTTAGAGTCTTCTACAAAGGAAGTTTTAATAAATAAATAAAAAAAGGGAAGGCAAACAAGGGCTGAAGCTTGTGGGAGATGTATAAAATTTTCTAAAAGGAAAGCAGTGACCAGTAAGAATCAATAGGTGGGGTTGAAAAGGAAAGATAAAAAGAAAACGCTCATCAAGGATCTCTCATGCCATTGTCACGGGTTGATCGTTTGGGATCGAACCGTGTAGCGACTTAGGCTTCTTTGGATCGTTGGAGTGCCTAAGCCAAGCTTTCTACTCAAGGATCAATCGCTCGCTCACTTGCCCATATCGTAAAGAGAGAAGCTCTATTGATTCAAGTGTTTGATGGATACAAATGAGAGAGAGAGCATTTCTATTTATACAAGAGGTCCTCTCATTACATCCGTAGATTTCCTTTCGATCTAGCAGTAGAGATTGCATCTCCCCATCCACTAACTACTGACACTTAATATAGGAATTCTCTAGAACATGGTACATTTACTGTATCGCCCGTCCTTGAGAATGTTCCGGAAACTCTAAGGGATTTGTATTGATCTTCTTTGATCGTACACGGTCCTTGGTGCATGGAAACTCGGCACCGTGACATTCTCCCCCACCCATTTGACCAACATCTCGGTGCTCCTGACTCGGGGTGGATTGTTGGTTCCTTGGGACGTTGCCAATTCTTCCACTTCCGATGCCGCTTTATCTTTGGCTTCTCGACTTGTCGGCTACTCGGCTCCTTTGGGTTGGCTATCACCATGTTGTCCGACAAGTTCGCCACTTCCGGAAAGAGCACATGGATAGGCATCTCATGTTGAGTATCTCTACCTTTGGCTTTGTGCTTGACTCAGTTGCGGATTCCTCAACTC